AGCTGTCTGGAAAAAATTGTGGCTGGTGATGGCTTGGTACAACAGAACTTTTTTTTTTTAAATTGAAGTAGAATCACAATCTGACCTGGTTCTGTGACTCCCCATATGGATCCCGCAGTTTGTACAGGAATATTGAAGGTGGCCCTTATACTATATATTTTATAGTCCTAAAGAAGTTAGTACATTGGGCAATAATTTTATCAGTGAATTTTACTATGGTTTGCTAATTACAGCTTCTGCATATGACTCATCTTCTAAACATGTAGCATGCACACCTCTTGTCCTTTATCCATGTGTTAGAACAACCATATCCAACGCTGTAAAGTATTTTGTGACAGTTCCTCTGAAGAAAGCTAAAGAAAATAAAATTTATTTTATCTTTTACAGTAGTGACTTCTGTTTTCAGGTTGATTTTACTTCCTCAAGCCTGTTTATCTTGTTAAATAGCCTGTCCGGCAGTATTGGTTAGGACACCTTTACCGTAGTTGATTCTGATATTGTAATTAAAAAATTATGTGCACAGGTTAAGAGTTAGGCAAAGGATTTACTAGATTTCAGTCACTTAAGTGATTTTTTTCTGTTTTATCACATTTTAAAACTCACATTTCAAAAGTGTGCAGTATTGTTGTGAGGAAGGATGGTCTAGTGGTTAAGACATAAGCCTGTGAGTTGGAAGACCTGGGTTTAATTTCCTGCTCTGCCATAGACTTCCTGTGTGATTTTGAACAGGTCAATCTCTCTGTGCCTCAGTTTCCTGATTCTAAAATGGGGATAATAGGGAAGTACTATCTCATAAGGGTGTTGTGAGAATAACTACCTTTGAAGCTTGTGAGGCACTCAGATAATCTCATGTTGGAGGCCATGTAAGTACCTTAGATATTACATTCCTGTAATTCTAAAATTGCATTGTGCGAAAGTGGAATGTGGAATTGCTATTGCAATATGGAAACCTTAAACCATTACAACAGCCTTACCACATCAGACCAGTGGTCCATCTAGCCCAATATCCTGCCTTCTGACAGTGGCCAATGCCAGATGCTTCACAAGGGAATGACCAGAACATCCCATTGTCTAGTCAAAGTATCTGGCAGTCTGAGGCTTACGGACAACCAGAGCATGGGGTTGCATCCCTGACCACTTGACTAAGAGCCATTGATGGACTTACCTATGAACTTAACAAATTCTTTTTTGAACCCAGTTATCGTTTGTCTTCACAACATCCCCTGATTTCCACAGGTTGACTGTGCATTGCGTGAAGAAGTGCTTCCTTTAGTTTGTTTTACACCTGCTGCCTATTAATTTTGTTGGGAGGCCCCCAGGTTCTTGTATTATGAGGAGTAAATAACACTTCCTTATTCACTTTCTCCACACCATTCATGATTTTATAGACCTAAAGCATATCCCCCCCTTAGTCTCTTTTCCAAGCTGAATAGTCCCAGTCTTTTTAAGCTTTTCTCATATGGAAGCTGTTCCATACCTATGATCATTTTTGTTGCCCTCCTCTGTATTTTTTCCATTTCTAATTATTTTTTGAGGGGGCGGGACCAGAACTGCATGCAGTATTCAAAGTGTGGGTGTACCATGGATTTATATAGTGACAATATATTTATCTTATTAACTATACCTAATCTTGTTAGCTTTTTTGACTGCCACTGGACATGGAGCAAATGTTTTCAGAGAACTATTCACAAGGATGCCAAGATTTTTTTTTTTTTTTTGAGCGGTAACAACTAATTTAGACCCCCATCATTTTGTATATGTAGTTGGGATTATGTTTTCCAATGTGCATTACTTTGCATTTAACAACGTTGAATGTCATCTGCTATTTTGTTGCCCAGTCACCCAGTTTTGTGAGATCCCTTTGTAACTCTTCGCAATCTACTTTGGACTGAACGGTCGAGTGATTTTGCATCTTCTGAAAACTTTGCCACCTCACTATTTACCCCTTTTTCTGGATCATTTATAAATATGTTGAACAGCACTGCTCCCAGTACAGATCCTTGGGAGAATCCCACTATTTATCTCTCCATTCTGAAAACTGACCATTTATTCCTACCCTTTGTTTCCTGTCTTTTAACCAATTAATGATCCATGAGAGGACATTCCCTCTTAACCCATGACTGCTGCAACCAGTCACTGGTTCAAATCTGCCCTTGTAACCATTTCATAGGTGGTATGTAAAATAAGTTAGTGACTGCAGTGCCAGTTAGACCACTATTGTTGGTGTTTGAGATCAAGCAAAAACGAGACATAAGACTTTCAACTAGAGGTCCTGGCTTCAGATCAAAGACCCCATGGTGCCCCATTTCTGTCGAGAGAGACAACTTCAGCTGCTTAGACCAGCACCTTTTAGGAGCACTAAATGCAGTTCAGATCTCACGGCACTTGCTTCTCTTACCTCACCTTTCTGACAGATCCTTTAGACTTTCTTCCTCTGTCAACATGCCTTAGAGCCTTCACTGGCCCTCTCCTATTCTCCTAGTACATGTTGTCTCAAGGTAGTACCTTCCATTGCCATTCCAGTACCTTACACAGGGAAATCAGAAATATCTTTGCATCTGGAACATCCACTCTAGTGTTTTGCAGGTAACTCAACTTGGACAAAAACTGAACTCAGCTTTCCCCCCGACTCTTCCCTCTTCTCTATTAGCTCCCTATTCAATGGGCACACAATCTTGGTTTCATTTTTTTATTCCTTCCCTCACATTGCTGTTGCCAATAAACCCTGCTGGTTTTTCCTCTACATTTCCAGAATCCATCCATTCTTCTCTGTTCCCACCACAAAATGTGTCATTCAGGCCCTTGTCCTTCATCTTAACTATTGTAAATTCCTCCCCAGTCTAGTCTCCCTTAACTTTTACAGACACATTTTTAATGGTATATGTGGGGTTTGTTGCTCTGACGGTAGCCATGTTCAGCTCTTCCAGTTTTTTCACTGCCTTCTACATCATTCTTACCCTCAAGGACCAGTCTAATTAAGTTCTCACTTTACCTTCTCTCTCATTCCCCCACTTACTCCACCCAAGCAGCACAGCTGAAGTGTCCCTTTCATGCAGTCTCTCTGCTCGTCCCCTTGTCTTAACTTAGAGCTTGATGGTAAATTTGAGTAAACTGTCAGAATCAGGTCCTGCAACTGTCAGCTCTTTGGGGAAAGTCCACATCTTATTGGTCTTGAAACATCACAATTCCCCATAGTGTCTTGGCTTTTTATTTTGTGTATCATTCCAAATGTCAAGGCATGTGCTTTCTTATGATAGTCAATTCCCTAAATGAATATTGAATCCAGTGCTCACCTTAAAAATGCAATCTCAGCTTTTTGTGTAATCGACAGGATGCGGTAGCTGCTAACACCAGCATCACTAATATTTTCAAAGTTGTAGAGTGCTTTAGTGCTAAGATATTGGTAACAGCTGATAATGTTCTTTTACCAACATAAGCAATTCCATTATACTTCTCAAATGTGTAAGTACTTATCACCTACTTCCTCTGCTAAGCTTTGATTAATATATAGACCTATTTTAACATTTTCAGCCAGGTTTCAACTAGTTGTATTTTTTTAATTAAGTTTTGTTACAGCCATGCAAGACTGTAGTGCAGCATCTCACTAATAAGACTGCATGAAAAGATTAAATATATTGGACCAAGATGTGCAATAGAACAGTCTTGGCTAAATGTGAGTTAACAGCAATGAAGAGTCAGAGGGATAACTTGGGTGACAACAGAAATTGCACCCAGTGCCTGCTATCTGCCTGATTTCTGATCTTATGCTCACTGTGACACTAGAGAGAGAAGCTATTATTTTTAAAATCGCCTGTCCTGGTTAAAGGACTAGCTGCACCTCTCCCCTGTCTTGTCTCTGACAGCACTCTTCTCTGTTGTTGGGTCTTTTGCCTTAACCTGGGTTGGGGTGGAATCTGATTTTTTCACATTTAGACCCTATTTATGCTAACCACTTATCACTCTGCAGGTCTGACTGGGTTTTAGGTAGTTGTGGCTCCTCCCTTCAGGAACCTGTGACATTGACCAACATCCTTCTTAAAGTATTTAGCAGTTGGAAGAAAAAACATTAGAGAAAAAATATTTTAAAACAAACAGTCCATCTGCATATTTAGTCTCAGTTTAGAGTGAAACAGGCTTTCATCTTATCTAATTTGTTACAGGAACAAAACAATCAATTTACATTCTCTCAGCCAGCCCACATCCTTCTGTGTGTGTGTGTGTCTGTCTCTGCCACTGTCTCTTAAGTGTAAGCTGTTAGACAATTATTAGAAAGGGACTCCTCTCTAGTTTCTAGGTGGACAGGCTCTGCTAACCAGACAGATCCCAGGGTGAAATACCCACTTCTGTATATGATACAAAGACACCCTGCTAATGAAATATCAGTAGTTAGAACTCCCGCATTTCCAGCTCTATCACAGACTTAAGTTGGAACCTCAATGGAGTAACTTCATCACTGTATCAGCTCTCCTCCTTCTCTGTGAAACTGGGGTATTACTAGTTACCTACCACACAGGTTTGTTGCAATAATTAATTAACATTTGTAAAGTGCTCTGAGATTCCCAGATTAAAGATTGTATAGCAGTGTTTTATTAGTCTCGGTGTGCACTCCCTCTTCACAATGAATTTAGAAAATGTTATCTTTCCTTTCCCACATCTGCTTCTTCCCTTACCCTTCCAAAAATATATATAGATTGGTGGGGAAGCTCATGCATATATAAGATTCTATCATCCTATGGCAAACCCAGCAGCATCCTTACTAACTGATACTATCTTGACTTCAAAGTAAAGAAAAGACCCCAAAAATTCTTAGTTTTTATTATAGGCTGTTGTCCCTAAGTGAACTGAAAGCCTCAGTGATCAAAATATTAAGTAGACAAAATATTTTCTTGTACAAATGTGGATGGTGTCATTAGGTGCCACTAATAGAGTAAAGCAATCTTTCCAACTAATATTACAGCAAACTAAACACAAGGAAACTTTAAAGTACGTTACATTCAAAATTAAATTAAAAAAAGCTTTTAATTTTTTCAGCATTGAGATTGGCAAAATATTCATAAAATAGGAATTTAAAATACAAGAATTACAAATGGAGAATCCCCTCAGTGTATTCTGGATCGTTTGACTTTGCTTGTTTCTCCAGGTGCTTTTCTCTTCTGAGATAATCCAATTCCCAGTTCTTTACTATTTTGAAGATAAGAAACAGCTTCTGGCAGACAGTAACCCTCCATGGGAGGAGGAAGCTCCTTCAAAAGAAAAAAGTGTTTTACTCAAATCTATTTGTTTAGCTAGACAGTATTAGAAAAAATATTCTGATTGACCCTCCTTTAGCAGCCAACTAAAATTAAAAGAGAGTCATCATTCTGAGACACCATATGAAGGAGTTATTAAACATATCCTGATTCTGACACATTGAAATAGTTTTAAAACTTTTCTGGTTTGGCATGGAATTATCAAAAATTTATCAGAATCCTGATGCAAAATGCATCCCATGTAAATCTCAAGGTCACGCACACATAATTTAGTGTATTCTAAAAACCATCTAGCTAAAACAATGCTCTATATCCACTTCCAACACTGAAACAAACCTCTGTCATTCTTTAGTGGCCAGAATTGGAAACTCAGCACAAGAATATTAACATTAGATCTTATGATCAGAATTATGGGCAAACCCGCTATAAAGATCTAAAATTGGAATACTGACATCAAAATTCTGTTTCATTACAAGCAAATGCCAAGCAGCTCTCTGCCCTCCTTACATACAATAGTTTTCATTCAATGAATCAATGGGTGAAGCAGTGTACTTTAATAAACATTATTTACATATATTTGATGATCTAGATGTGGACTGTTTTCTTCAAAGCAAACAAATGGTACATAATACCCCTAATATGCACACCTGTATGAGGTAGTCAGCAATGTATTCTGGTTTCAAGCAGTTCACTCCTTGGGCAGCAGCCTCCAGTACATTAACTCTGGTATCATCTGGCTTCAGTTTACTGAAGTCAGCAAAAAGGTGAGTAGCTTCTTTATAGAGAAATAGAGAATGACCTGGCAGTACCTACAGATTTAAACACAACAGAAAGTCCTTTTTATTTTTGTATTTATCTTGGTAATTGTGTACATGTTTTACAGATTATGTACTCACTAATCTCCATCACATCCACAGTATGTCATCAGAAAACTGCGTACCAAGTACAGCCTCATTCTACAAAATAATTTACATTCCAATGAGAGGAAGGATGATCATCTTGTTAGGGCAACAGACTGGGACCCAGAAGCTCTAGGTTCAAATCCCATCACTGCCACAGACTTCCTGTGAGAGCTTGGGAAAGTTACTTACTCTCTGTGCCTCAGTTCCCCACCTGTAAAGGGGAACATCACAACTTCCTTTGTCTGCCTTGTCTATTTAGATAATAAGTAATTTGTGTCAAGGACTGCCTCTTCCTACTTGCATTTACAGTGCCTAGCACAACAGGGCCTCTTGGTACTACCGTTCCATCAACGACAACCACCAACCAAACAAAACATCAGTGTCTATTAAGATGATCTTAAAGTAATTTATTGAATGGAATTATTTTTTAAGTCACATACCTTTGCTCCTCCTGATTGAAGAAGACGTTTGAATCCTGCTTCCTTGGTTTGGTCAACATTCAAAATCACTTTCCAGCCACTAAATGCCCCCTACATAAAATATTCAGTTTTTAAAAAGAACAGGGTTCTATGAAAAACCTAAAAGCTAATTATACCCCACTCAGGAACATTCTGTGAGGCAAGATTTATCACATACACACCATCCAGGGGAGGTTTTTTGTTTTTAAATAACAGCAGGGATGCACAACATGTAAGCCAGGGGCCAAATTCCAGCCCACAGGGTCATACAACATTTCACCTGGCTACCCACTCCTAGTTAACTGTAGGATGAAACAACAAAGCTGATTAAGTGCAGATGAACTCTCATATCAAGTATATTCTAGTGTGTTTCAGGAAGGCTTGGAGTACAACAAAATATTAGGGTTATGTACATTCACTTTTGTTTAAAATGTCAATGTAAATATATACACAAATCAAGCATAGCCCTAATGCTCCTGGCAAGACGCTAATAAGCACCCCTTAACCACTGGTTTCTGTGGTCGTGCACCCCTATTTTACAAGATGCAGTTCTCAGTCCTTTACTGGTGACTTGTTGGTTTGATTACTAAGGGTAAAAATTCAAAGGTGCCTAGTGACTTAGGAGGCTAAGTCCCATTTTCAAGAGTGATTTAGACACTTGAGACAAAGTCTCAAAAGTCGATAGAGCTCCTTAAGCTCGTAAGTCACTTAAGTACTTCTGAAAATTTTACCCTAAGACAACTGCGTGATGGCAAATACAGGTGTCGGAGTTGTTTAGAATCATAACGTTAAAGGATAATGATTTAGTCATTTAAAAAACAATGAAGCAGTTATTTAAGTATTAGGATTTCCAGTTTGCATGCTAGTTAGCAATGGGAGTTATTGCAGTCACCAGTGCCAAGAGGGGACAAAGACCATTAATTAATCTTCAATGCTAATAATGTTCAATGCTGACAATAAAAGCATTTAGGAAAAAAAGAGATTACATTAGTATGGATCCAGCTAGGATGCTTTGTTTTTAAAAGAACAAAGCAGGTAACCCTCTCTTGGCACAGACTCTGGGTTTCTTGGAGCACATCCCATTACAGCGCCTCCCTCCCAACATCAAGAGGTTCCACTTCATATGTTTCCAAATACCTCAATGATGCCAGTTTCCTGCCTCCTTTTATGGATTTTTTTCCTCCATCTCATTGCTGCAAGTGCTAGTTTCTTTTGGTTTACATTGATTCCAGACAAAACATTGAGTATGGAGTTACTTCCCCATTCATAATCTTCCTCCTAAAACAATTATAGCCACACCAACAGCCAGAAATTAAAAAATAAAAACAAGAACACACTAGCTTTGCACATCAATTTTACCTGACAGAAAGCACAGCAGTAGTTATTAAAATTAAATATAGTGGCTCCTGGTTAAATATTTGTAATTTTTCCCTACGTGTATAGAGCCTCTCACTTAGATTTTAAATAAACTCAGTCTTTTCATTACCCTAAATTATCTCCAGGCAGCTATAGTTCCTTTTGTGGTTAGAGACAATGGAATGTAACCACTAAGCAACAGAGCGTGAAAGCGACCATCACTTACTCACAATCCCCCTCTCTCTCTGAATTTAATAAGATTTCTTCCTGAACAATACAAGTGATTTATTTTTATTTATACAGATTAAACAAAAAACAAAAAAACAGAAAACAAAACTTTGTAAGTCAGCCAAGTCAACAAAGCTGCTAGACCCTGGAGAACTATGAAATGGAGACTGGTTTCCTGCAGAGTACCCAGACATGCTGAATTAATTACAATAATTAATTAAGTGGTTTCAGAGCACTACTAAAGATACCAAAGATATTTTAGAGTATCACTAATTATAGATTCAACTGCACATAAAAAAGAAAATACAAAACTGAAAAGAAAGACAAGGAGGAGTTTGGTTATTTAGACTGTTATGCTTATAAACTATAGGATAAGGATTTAATTCTTGGCATAAAAGGATCCATCCCATTATTTTCAATTGCACTTATAATTTACCTAAGGCACTTCATTCTAAATTATCAAAAGTGACTAGTGATTATGGGTGCCTCAGCTGTTGGAGGACCAACTTCAGACAGCTGGAAAGGGACTGATTTTCAGAGGGAGACTGAGTGCTGAGCAATTTCTGAAAATCAGATCTCTTTAGTATGACAAGAATTGGGCAATGAAAATCACTTGTCCCTTGAGAATTCTGTCCTTAAGTTTCTGCCATTAGCTGTAGTAGAGACTTCAAAAGCATTTTATTACTAAAATTAAAACAGCAAAGGAGATGTAACAACTGATGTATCACTAATAGAGTTATGAACCTGTACAAAGCAGCAGGCTGCTCTGCATGCCTCCAGGTAGGAACGATGAAGCACCCACTTTCCAGCAGCCATCGAGGCCAAGTATTTCTCATTTCGAAGAGGATGTCCCACAATGATGTGTGTACAACTTGGATCAAAGCACTGCTTCTCAAGCACCAGTCCACCTTGAAACACGGGAGTGAATGCAATTCACGTTATTTCAAGGAAGGGTCTACCAGAGAAACGTCAATTGAATAAATGAGGAACTATTTTATAATTCATACTTAAACTCAATGCTATGCACACTAGAATCTAGGCAGAAAGCCTTGCCATTAACTGATATAACCTCGTGCACAGAAGGCAAAGGGGGAGCTAGCTTTGATAGAAGGCAGTACCACTGTAACTCATGCATAGCCACTTTGGCACCAGAATGCTTAAAAAAAGGTAGAAAAAAGCCTTAGGAACTTAGAAGAAAGGGGAGAAACACCAGTGGAGAGCAGGCAGGCTCCTAAGCAAAAAGAGGGAATTTTCTGCAGAAGAATCCCACACAGCAATTCCCAGTCGATAAAAAGCATCACCCTTTCGGTGGTAAGTTTAGGCTCGAAATAAGACAAAGGTTTCTAACCACCAGAGAGGAGTGAAGTTCTGGAACAGCCTTCCAAGGGGAACAATGGGGCAAAAAAACCTTTATGGCTTCAAGACTGAGCTTAGTAAGTTTATGGAGAAGATGGTAGATGGGACTGCCTACAATGGTATGTGGCCCATCGGTGACTGCCAGTAGCAAAAATCCTCAACTGCTGGAGATGGGACACTAGATAGGGAGAGTTCTGAGTTACTACAGAGAATTCTTTTTCAGATATCTGCCTGGTTGGTTTTTCCCAGATGCTCAGGGTCTAACTGATCGCCATATTTGGGGTCTGGAAGGAATTTTCCCCTAGGTCAGATTGGCTAAGCCGCTGGGGGGTTTTTGCCTTCCTCAGCAGCATGGGTCACAGATCACTTACAGGTTTAAAGTAGTGTAAATGGTGAATTGTTTGCAACTTGAAGTCTTTAAATCAGGATTTGAGGACTTCAGGAACTCAGCCAGGTTAGGGTCTATTTCAGGAATGGGTGAGATTCTGTGGCCTGCAACGTGCCGGAGGTCAGACTAGATGATCACGATGGTCCCTTCTGACCTTAAAGACTTAAAGTCTATGATAACTTCAAATAACAAAAACATAGTGATAGAACCACAAGGCCTTGTTTCAGTGCTAAAAAAGGTTTACTTTTTACCTCTGGGTAACTAAGGTGCATTAGCTATTCTGAGGTAAAAAAACCCAGGGAAGACAAGGCATTTCAGTTTTTATAAAGTACGCGAGGTCAGCACTATATCCCTGCCTGGTCTTGACCTCACCTAGTTTATCTCACAGTAAAACTCAAGTGCCTTGTCTCCACTGTGTTTTTACAATGTGATAGCTAACACATATTATTATCCCTGGTGGAATACACACCTTACCCTTCTTTGCCAGTGAAGACCTAGCCAAAGCATCTTGAGAGCTACAGGTCTGAAACCTTAGATTTAGATTAGCAACGCATTAACAGAGGCCCCTTTTCAGCCCCCAAAGCCCCATATAAACAAACTTTAGAAGTTTTACAAACATCTGGCTACCTAGTTTCTCAATCAGATGGCAGTAATCGATTCGCTCTTGAGGATTAAGTGAAGACAGCTGGAATTTGCGCGGTTTTTCTGGTTCTTCATCAACCTTCTCATCTACTGTAATAGCCTGGAATATGACAAAAGTTATAGGGAGAGTTGCGTAGAAAGTTAAATTCAAGACTCAACTATTTCTCTTGAGTATTCAAGGTTTTCCTACATTGGGATTTCTATCTGCTGTGAGGTTTGAGAAGGCAGGAACCAGAGTCAGTCACTAGACAAGGGTTTGGCTTCCAGTCAAGCAGACTGCATCCAAAGTTGAAAAATACATAGTACTCTAATATTCAAAGTCAACCTAACACTTAACCTCCCCTGGTTCCCATCTATAGGGCACAGTTTAATAATCTGTCATGAAAATGACTTTTTCATTCTAATTGATGGAATGGCAAGCTGGATGCACTGACACATCAAATACCAAATGTACCTCCCTATCTCTCTTATCCAAGCTTTCTATTCCTACAGTGGGATTCTATCAGCAAACAAAATCCCAGAGGGCTTCAAGTAATTATTTAAAAGTCAAAAATGTGTCAAGAAAAATTGTCAGGGCTACCACAGCATGTAATACCCTGCTGCCAAAGATAGCATCCAATGAAGCCTATACATCTACCTTATAGCATGCCAGGGTGCTTCCGTCCAGACCTCTTCATAGATGGATTTTTCAATCCAGGAAACTGATACTGCCTATTTTTGGATGGGCTTTGATCTTTCCTGTCAAGTTGTGCTCCTTCACTTTTCATATGCTGCTGTTTTGCCTTTACTGCTGGGTACTATAAAAACAACCCAAAGATATTCTCACCAGGTAGTTTTTAAATTGATTTGTATGTGCGCCTTGGGTTTTGTGCAGAATGATGCGAGAACTCTTTCCAGAGACCTGTGAAATACCATATCACTGCTGCTGGAATCCCTCACCACCAAAAGTGTCTGTTCATTTCTATACCACTGCTAGGGTCACCTGGTTGCAGGGTGTCAAAGGAGGATCATTCCTCTTATGCCATGCCACGCCACAATCTGCACTGTGCTAGTGGGTGCACATGCCAAAACTGAAGAAATTGTTGCTACCGTTCCATATTAGGGGGTTAGTGCTGAGGCTTAAAATCTTGAGCAGAAGGGCAGAGGCTGCTCCTGAGAACAAAACAATGCAAACTGCTCCTGCCCAGCAAGGTTATAGGAGAGATGAGCATAACAGGCACCTTTTCTCTTTGGGCTTCTGCTCATCATGGGGTGGTGTTCACAGTAGGCTGTAGAAAGAACAGAGTGAAGAAAAACCTGGAATCAACTTGGCAATTTAATAGTTTTTCCTCTGTGCCCTGTAGTTTGCAAGGAGGAGGTCTGGAAAGTGCCTGCAGCTGCCGCCAGGAAGATCAAACTGAGTTTTCCAAAAGGGAAAAACTAAGCCCCTGCCTGATGATTGACAGGTCTGGTCTTGCCTTAAAGTGAAAAGTAGAGGGGAAACCCACTGTAGGACTGGCAAGCCTGGATGAGAGAAAACAGTTACACATTCCAAACAAAGTTTATTTACTAGTGTGAGGAAATATGCCACTGAACACACATGCCTGTTGAAAAGATCAAGCAACAAAGTTATACAAAGGACTAGTGAAATAAAGGCTAGATTAATTTTCCATAGCCCTTTGTGAATTTGCTACAGATTTTCAGCACTGACAGCTTATTTGTAAGTATTAATGCAACATACTACCCAAATGATTAATCAAAAAGAACTTCTCCCCATTATTGTCAGTCATTAAAGGGGCTCTAAAACACTACAGAACCCCCAACCCTGACCCCACCTCTGCCTACAAAAATCTATTTCATTAACATGACAAGAAAGTGGATTAAAATGATGTTTTTCTTTTTGAAAGTAACATCCTCTAGAGCAGCGGTCTCCAACCTTTTTAAGCCCAAGATCACTTTTTGAATTTAAGGGCAACACAGGATCTACCCCTTCCCTGAGGCCCCAGCCCTTCCCCAAGGCCCCGGCTCTTCCCCAGAGCCCCACCCCACTCACATGCTCTTTCCCAGCCTCACTGGCTTTCACCGGGCTTTGGTAGGGGTTTGGGGCAGGATGCAGGCTCTGGGCTGGAGCTGAGGGGTTCGCAGTGTGGGAGGAGGCTCTGGGATGAACCTGGGGCACAGGATTGGGGTGCAGGAGGGGGTGAGGGGTGCAAGCTCTGGGAGGAAGTTTGGGTGTGTGTGTGTGGGGGGGGGTTCTGGCCTGGGGTACAACGTTGGGGTGCAGGAGGAGGTACAAGGTGCTGGCTCTGGGAGAAGGGTCAGGTCTGGGGCAGAGAACTGGATGCAGGAGGGGGTGGGGGTGCCAGCTCTAGGAGGGGGGTCAGGGCTGGGGCTTGGGGTGCAGAGGGGGTATGGGGTGCTGGCTCGGGAAGGGGGCTCAGGGCTGGGGCTTGGGGTGCAGGAAGTGGTTCGGGGTGCTGGCTCCAGGACAGGGCTCAGGGCTGGGGTGTGGTCTCCCTCCAGGCCGCACTTACCTTCAGCGGCTCCCTGTTTGTGATGTAGTGTGGCTGCCGCTAAGGCAGGCTCCCTGCCTACCCTGGCCCCATGTCGCTCCTGGAAGGGGCCAATGCACCCCTGTGTCCCCTGGGGGTGGGCAGCATGTGGCTCCACGCGCTGCCCCTCTCTGCAAGCACCACCCCTGCAGCTCCCAATGGCCTCAGCTCCCCATTTCCGGACAATGGAAGCTGCAGGTGCAGTGCTTGCAGGTAGTACAGCATGCAGAGGGAGACCCCTGTCCCCAAGCCGCACTGGCCACTTCCAGGAGCAGCGTGGGGCCAGGGCAGGCAGGGAGCCCGTCTTACTGGCGCTACTGGAGATCACGATCGACTGGGAGATCCTCTAGGATCGACCAGTCGATCACAATTGACCGGCTGGTGACCACTGCTCTAGAGAACAACAACAAGGATAAAAGGTTTAGAAAACATGGTCTATGTGGAAAGGTTAAAAAAAAACTGGCCATGTTTAGCACTGAGAAAAGAAGACAGAGGGGAGACCTGATAACGGTTTTTAAATATATTAAGGGCTATTCTGAAGAGAACAGTTGTTCAACTGTTCTCCATGTCTGCTGAAGGTCAGATAAAAAGTAATGGGCTCAAACTGGAGCATGGAAGATTTAGGTTAGCTATTAGGAAAAACTTTCTAACTATAAGCGTAAAGTTCCGGAATAGGCTTACAAGGGAGATTGTGGAATTCCCATCACCGTAGGTTTTTACGAACAGGTTGGACAAACATGTGTCACGGATGGTCTAGGTTTACTTGGTCCTGCCTCAGCACAGGGGGATGGACTAGATCACCTCTTGAGGTCTCTTCCAGTCCCACATTTCTATGACTTGCTCAGAGTCTCTTGGGAGAAATGAAAAATTTGGAACTAAAAGTACACTGCACAGAAATTATCCACTATAAAAAATGTTAAACTGATGAATACATTTACTGTCAGCGTCAAATCTTAGGTGCATTTTAATAGTACACTGGGTCATTTCTTAACAGTGCAAGTATGATCCTTTAAAAACAAGTGTGCTGCTATAACAAACCTTTGCTTTGGGCTGTGGAGCCACAGGAGGGTTGGCCAGCGGGAAAGCAATGCTGGGAGCTTGCGGTGTGGGGATCACTTGATCATCTTTTACTGGGGTTTTTGGATCATTATATATTGGATGCTTTGGTACCTCTTCCACACCTGTGTCCTCAGAATCATGAACAGCTGTGGATAGTAATTCATTGTTGCTTGATTTTGTTTGAATTTTTACTATGATAACATTGAAAAAAGTATTAATCCCAAATGAACAAGAAACAAATGCCATCACAACATTTATTCTGCATTTTCAGAAACAATTGCTTATTCTCTGTCTTAAAATTTACATCCTTTCATCACAAAGCAGCAGTTGAGCTGTTGCAAGCCTCATGTTTTTGACTATCTCTACTTCCCAATTGATTCCTTAAGATAACTTGACATGAAGCACTCAAACTGGCCACATAAGGGGGCTGCATTGATTTAACTAGATTATTTTATAAACCAATTTCATTAAATCACTACAACTTTCTCATGTAAGACTGAAAAAGAAACCATCCTCCAGGTAGGCTGCTTCAAACAGAGCTGTAAGGGGATGGGAGGTAAGGGGATGGGAGGTGTCAAGAATGCCCCTTTCCCACACACACCACGCTGTAGAAAGCTTGCTGCAGAAGGATGCGAAGGGAGAACAATGTTTGTGTAGGTCAGCATGACAGCATGTGAAGTATTCATGCATGGTCTGACAATGAGCACAGGACTGAGGAGCCAGGAACTTCTGATTCTAATCTCAGCCCTGTCAATGACTCAGAGTAGGGCCTTCAATTCACTTCTGTTCCAGTTTCCCAATTTGTAAAAAACACCAGAAATATTTATGTCACACAGGTTTTTTGAGGATTCATGTTTCCACAGCACTTTGAACACGTAAAGCATTATGTGAATGCTAAACATCACTACAGATCTCTTCCTGCAGAGCCACGTGATGGCTGCCCATCTGCTAGCTTCTACTCTCCTCTCCTCACATCTAGCTCTTTTTCCTGCAGTCAAGAGGAGAGTGGAAGTCAGGAAGCCATCCATCCATCTCAGAGGAGAATATTCACTGCCTCTTAAGTACATGGAGTGGAAGGAAGGGGAAACAGAGTAGATGACTCAGCTGTGCTTCTTCTCCACTCCTAACAGCAGGATAAAAAGGCTTGCAGGGATAGAAGGAAATAGCTAGGCAGAGCATGTAATCAACTGCATTTGTAAAGACAGCAAGAAAGATATGAATAATAACTTGATTGCATCCTAGTCCACTGATCTCCCCAGCAGACTTGCTGCCAGATTTTTATGGGGCTTCTGGGCATTGGTGATCCTTCTACACCTCCATTCTTACCCAGCATTGTGGATCTTCTTCAGCTGCTATTAAAAAACTAAGATTTTACAACCGTTAAGCACATTAAGAGGTCCAAGTGGGCTCAGTGGAGTTATTTGCTTTAGTAAGTACACGTCTTAAACTCGAAACCTAAGTCTAAGTTGAATCAGGGTATCAATGTAGAGGCGTCATAAATGCCGTTCGTCATAACTCAAATGTCGTAAAGTCGAGGATTGCCTGTACTATTCAACATGAATAGGTGTTCCAGAATTGGGGCCTAAAACAAACAAAAAAAAACCTATCTTTAGGCAAAGGCTGTCTCCATACTGCTTACTGATGTCAAAAACGTGCATGGGGTCTTTCTGGAGGAAGAGCAGAGTTAAAAAAAAAAATGAAAAAAAAAATATTTACCTTTTTAAACAAGACCAATAATGGTCTGCCACTCATCCTGAGCCTCATTATTAAAAAGGGAAAAATGTTTAGATCACTTAGAGAGATCACAACACACTAAAGCTGAAAAAGACAGATGTAATAGTGTTGTTTTCTTTTGCGTCTAGAATGCCATTGTATCGTAACAAATAACCCTAACTACAGTCCAGCTTAAACATGTATTTTTCTCCTTACCTAATTCAGTAACTTCTCTATCAGTGAAGGATTCCCTGAAAGGGGAATCATTCATGTTATTTACATCAGTCTGAATTTGTTCTGAGTACTGTGAAGGACTATTGGGCCACTGTAAGTTGCTGACAAGCCTTGCTCTCTCCTCTCTTGCAGTGGGGTCATCCCAAACAATCTGCTCATTTTGTGATGGCTCTGTGTTTATGTCCATCACTGCTTGCCGTGACTGCCTAAGGAACAAAAAACGAAATCCACATAAAGTTTCCTTAAAAAAAATAGATGAATTATACTTGAGGGCAAGGATGTATTTATCATCCTGTTAACAATGTACTACAATCTTTATTACTGGATAGCATGGTCAGGAAAGAATAAACTTCAATATAAAATTGATAAGTCAGGCAGTTTGATTACCTGGGTATCAGTCAGCACGGCTACGAAAAAGTGACTGTGAACAATACTGGTCATTTTTAGCACGTATCATGCTACTAAGGTGTTTCATGATCAGCATATCCCATACTTTACTGTCCTTATATTCTTGGTGTAAATTTGAAAGTTAAAAAGAGAGCAATCTAGCTTCTTGGGTGGTAAATATTGGAAATTTCCAATATTTACCAGGAATCAGGCTCTTCATCATTAATTCCCTGCATCTGGTTTACCCATCAAGTACTTCTTAATTCATCGGAAAGTACATGCCCTGTATTCTAGGTTCTTTTTAGAAACTACGGGTAGATCTGGAAGGCAATCTCACCCATGGTGAATTAACAATGTTTTCATTTTGACTGGAGGTTTTAGCTATGTTTTCTACATTCCCACAGACCAGGGATGGATTTTAAACTGCAACAAGACAGACTTAATTACATGAGTGGCAAAATGCAAGTGTAATACTTGAAAGCCTCATAGTCGGAAGTAATCTTCACATTTGCAAGTGTATAAATGCATAATGAAACAGTGTACTTATAGCTATCGTATGGCAACTGATATTTGAAAGGTTATTAGCAGGGCTGTCAAGCAATTAAAAAATTAATCGCAATTAATCATTCTGTTAATAATAGAATACTATTTATATAAATATTTTTGGATGTTTTCCACATTTTCAAATATATTAATTTCAATTACAAGACAGAATACAAAGTGTACAGTGCTCACTTTTTATTTTTTATTATTAATATTTGCACTGTAAAAATAAAATAAATAGTATTTTTCAAATAACTTAATATAAGAACTGTAGTGCAATCTCTTTATCATGAAAGTTGAACTTACAAATGTAGACTTGTGTACAAAAAAATAACTGCATTCAAAAACAAAACAATGTAAAACTTTAGAGCCTACAAGTCCACTCAGGCCTATTTCTTGTTCACCCAATCGCTCAGACAAACAAGTTTGTTTACATTTGCAAAAGATCATGCTGCCCACTTCTTGTTTACAATGTCACCTGAAAGTGAGAACAGGTGTTCGCATGGCACTGTTGTAGCTGGCGTTGCAAGATATTTACGTGCCAGATGCACTAAAGATTCAAATGTCCCTTCATTCTTCAACCACCATTCCAGAGGACATGCATCCATTCTGATGATGAGTTGTGCTCGATAACGATCCAAAGCAGTGCAGACAAATGCATGTTCATTTTAATCATCTGAGTCAGATACTACCAGCAGAAGGTTGATTTTCAGTTTTTGTGGTTTCGGTTCTGTAGTTTCTGCATCGGAGTGTTGCTCTTTTAAGACTTCTGAAAGCATGCTGCACACCCCGTCCCCACCAGATTTTGGAAGGCACTGCAGATTCTTAAATCTTGAGTCGAGTATGTAGCTATCTTTAGAAATCTCTCATCGGTACTTTCTTTGCATTTTCTCAAATCTGCAGTGAAAGTGTTCTTAAAATGAACAACATGCTGGGTCATCAAAAGTGCCATGCAAACGTCTGCTCTCATTTTCAGGTGACATTGTAAATACGAAGCGGGCAGCATTATCTCCTGTAAATGTAAGCAAACTAGTTTCTCTTAGCGATTGGCTGAACAAGAAGTAGGACTGAATGTAGGCTCTAAAGTTTTACATTATTTTGTTTTTGAGTGCAGTTATGTAACAAAACAAAACAAAAATCTACATTTGTAAGTTGTGCTTTCACGATAAAGAGATTGCACTACGGTACTTGTATGAGGTGAACTGAAAAATAATATTTCTTTTATTTATCATTTTTACAGTGCAGATATACTGTACATTTTGTATTCTGTGTTGTAATTGAAATCAATATATTTGAAAATGTAGAAAAACATCCAAAACATTTAATAAATTTCAATTGGTATTCTAATGTTTAACAGTGCAATTAAAACTGCGATTAATCATGATTAATTTTTTTGAGTTAATTGAGAGTTAACTGCCATTAATCGACAGCCCTAGTTATTAGACATACTTAGTTTTTGCTGTCCAAATTTTTGTAAGACTGTCAAAGTCAAGTAAAAGAAAGCAAGACAAAGTAAGACATTTACATGTAGCATGATACCTTAGAGCTTCCAAGACTCTACTACGACCGTTACGCACAGATCGTGTGCCATCTGGTGTGGTAGGGGAACTGTCAAAACCATTCCTTGACAACGATCCTCTTTGTGCTTGTGGTTTCACTATCGATGTTGCAGACATGATCTCCTGTAGTTGCTTTTGAAAGTTCTCCCTCATTTCCAGTGTCTGGGTTAAAACTTGAAGTGAAAGAAAGTCACAACAAGACTTAGGCCATTTAATTTTACATTTCTAGAATGCCTCAGTTTAATCATGTAGCTCTCTTTCAGGACAAAGATATGTACATTTTTTCACATGTGGCAATACTTTCAATTAAGTCTTTGCTTCACATGATAAATAATTAGCAATATCCAGTCTAAGATATTCTAGAATACTAAAGACAACAGCCCAATAGTTCATCAGGGATGGTCAGTCCTCCTTATGGATTTGCCAGCATCTTTAAAGCAGGGTACAAAACATCTCTCCTCATACTCTGCAGCACTTATGAATAAGAAGCAGCCAGCACTTTTCCAGGGAAGCCTGGTTGGCTACATTGTGCTTAGGTATGAGAATAAATGACACTAAAACCTCCAGATCTTAAAATTCAAGCTTCCCCAAAATAGTAAAATACTTATATTTAAAACTGTAGTTTCCACAGCTGTTTTAAAAAGAAAACAAAGAATATTTTGTTTACCTCCTTTGGCTTCATTTCCTGCAATTTGCTCCTCCCTTACTGTGACTGCTTCCTTTACCTGGTTAGTAGTTACATCTCCTATGTCATTTTCATCCACTGAAATACTCTAAGAATGTTAAAAATATAGAACTTATCAATCTAATTCTGAAACCGAAAGACATAGCAACTTGCTACAGTGTTCAGTGGGGGATAAGCATGTTGGGGTGTTTTAGGGGACAGGAAGAACTCTACCAAAGCTCCACCAACAAACCAAAGATCCACTCTATCAGCCTCAGATTAGCTTAATGTTTCTGCCACAGCAGTGAAATAATAAAAAAACCCACTAGACTGGAGACTTAATATCCTATTAAATTCAATAAAATTCACACCTCTCAGGCCTACTGTTTATGTCTAAATGAAGACACACAGGACCATACCAATTCAGATTTGAAGACTGCGTCCACTCTAATAAGATAGATAGATAGATTTTTTTTTTTTTTTTTTTTTTTTTTAAAGAGAGAGTTAGAATGCTGAGAAACTGATGGAGTCTCCAGGATAGAGAAAGTTTACAGCTGCATAACTGCTGAACTTGACCCCAGAGATTACTAAATAACAATATTTGTATTAGTTTATATTCATTTTGTTAGTGAAACAACTAGATTAAAATAATGCCAATGAATCCAATACATCTTATCGTATACCTCAACTTCCTTTGCTATTTTTCCAGTTGATGGAAGTCTACTGGAAGAAAGTCTGCCATCTTGTACTGCACTGATATCCAGACTCATTTTGGGATTGTAAGTGTGAGGGAACAGAGATTCGGGAAGTCGTTTATATTCTTGTGCACTCTGCAACAAAGTTCATAAATATAAGAAATTATGAGAAATTTGGGAAGAACAGAGTAATTTAGATAGCATGATGCAAAACTAAATATAAAAAATTTCAGTAAAAGTAATACTACTGGAAACAAACACTAACACAGGAGGCACATGTAGTTCTTAGGACAGTAAGTATGAAATTCTTACTTTCCAAAAAGTTCTGAAGATTTTTCTTCATGACTACTAAATCTAACTTTACCACTGCCCCATTGGCAAATACGTATGCAAACAAAAAGTTATTGTTCAGGGAAACCTCAACCAAAAGCTCTGCTAAACTGAGTCAATGTATTGGATATGAAAAGCAAATATATGAAGAAATTGTCAATTTCAGCTCTACAGTCACTACTGAGGTGAAGGCACACCAATGAAAATTATTTAAGATTTAGAAGGATGAAGCCTGCAAATTAAAAGCAGCATGCATAAAGCATCAGCTATTGTGTATGAACAATTAAAACCCATGCACGTGCTTTTTAAAAAATGGAAAGTCAGTCCAATACATCTGATCTTGTCTCCATTCTCCTTTACATTTCAGAGGAAAATAAAAATAAATTTCTTCCATACCTCTAAAAGCCAATGCTCTGAAACAATGTGTATGCCCCTTTCTTTAACAGATTTGTATTCCTTACTGCTGTCATTTTGTCTTCCCTGGTAGATGAAGTGAGTTACTGTTTCATCAAAGCACCATCTAGAATAAACACCAATAAAATGTAATCTGAAGATATCAACTCCAGTTTAATATTATAATTACTGCATCCTTGAAACTGAGTCTTAACCCACCAAGACAAATAACCATTACTATGAAGCTTAACAAAAGCTACAAAAAAAACTTACTTATTTAGCTGCCCCCTCAAAATCACCATCATCCAACATACAATAATTTTTTGGGGAATCATGTCATGAATCTCTTAGTAATTCAATTGAATATTAATAAAATGTGCCTTAACATTTGATTTGTTTTTTTTTTGTTTTTTTTTTCCATTTTATAAATTGAAATATTTACGTAGAACAGCAATATACTTTTGTATTTTATTCTATATAGGTTCTTATATTGCCCTCCCCATTTCTTGTATTTGAGCACCTTTCAGTAGCACATCTGACCAACACCTGTCACGTGATTTCTTCTCTCTCATATTCTCTCTGCACAGGGAGAATTGTGTGCACAGTGTAGTGTTTAGTTTTGGTTCTGTTTTTGTAGTTTTTGCTTTTAAATGTGCACACTATTATTGGATGTTAGAGACAGCAAGGCTGAAGAAGCACACCTTGCATGTGGTGCAGAAGGGTTTGAGATGGTCCTTAGTTCCTGTGGGAGATCATTCCACAATCTTGAACTGGCCCCTGAGGAAGTTCTATCTCCCACATGGACAAGCTTTAGCCTTATCATAGAGAGTTCCATTGTGCCAGAAGAGCAAAGATATACCCTGGTTTTCATCGCTGAACTTTAGGTGATCTTTCAGATATCCTGGGCCCAGGCTATTGAGCATCTTGAAAATAAGGACTGAAACCTTGAACTTGATTCAATATTCTATGGAAGGCCAGTGTGGGGAGTGGAGGATAAGCCTGATGACCTTGCGGTATCCCGTGTTGCAAGGAGACATACTGCAGCATTCAGTATTAGCTGGAGTTTACTAAGGGTTGATGGCTTTGTGGCCAGATATACTGCATTGCTGTAGTCCAGACAGGAAGTGACAAGGCAGTATAACTGAGACCAGGTCACCATCCGCCAAGATGGGATGGAGTCTCCTAACGAGATGTTATAAGGCATTACTTGCAGATGCTGTTTTGTGAGAGATTAGCATCATCAAGAAATCCAGGAGAACTCCTAAACTGAAATGACCACTTGTGGGTGTTTGCCTTCAACCAAAGGAGACTGACTGCATCAAGACTGTGAACTCTTCGAAGTGTTTTTCTCTGCCCACTACCATAACCTCTGTGTTGCTCGGGTTCAGTTTCAACCAGCTGTTGTTCATCCATGAGCTGATCTCACTCAAGCATTAGACCATCTTGGTGATATCAGTATGGTCATATGTGGTGAAGGGTAGGTAGTGCTGTGTGTCATCTGCATATTGCTAGCGCTTGAGTCCATGCCATCTTACCAGTCCTCCTAGTAACTGCATTTAGATGTTGAAGAGAACCAGAGGGAGAATTGATCCTTGCGGGACTCCATAAGAGAGGTGTTTAGTGGCAGACACACAGTTTCCCATCACAACTTACTGGATTCATCCCTCCAGGCAGGGCTTAAACCATTTTAGTGCATGTCCCTAGATCCCGGACAACCTCTCTCAGGCAGGACAGCAGTATCTCATAGTTAGGGCCCTACCAAATTCACGGCCATGAAGAACGTGTCACAGACCGTGAAATCTTGTCTCCTCCCATGAAATCTGGTCTTTTGTGTGCTTTTACCCTATACTATACAGATTTCACGGGGGGAGACCAGCATTTCTCAACTTGGAGGGTCCTGACCCAAAAGGGAGTTGTAGGGGTATCACAAGGTTGGGGGGGGGGGGGGTTTCGCGGTATTGACACCCTTACTTCTGTGCTGCCTTCAGAGCTGGGTGGCCGGAGAGTGGCAGCTGTTGGCTGGGCACCCAGCTCTGAAGGCAGCACCTCACCAGCAGCAGCGCAAAAGTAAGGGTGGCAATACCATCCCATGCCATCCATACTTCTGCGCTGCTGTTGACAGTGGCTCTGCCTTCAGAGCTGGGTTCCCGGCCAGCAGCTGCCACTCTCCAGCAGCAGCAGCAGTGCAGAAGTAAGGGTAGCAGTACCACAATCCTCCTACAGTAACCTAGCAATCCCCCTACAACTCTTTTTTTTGATCAGGACCCCTACAATTACAACATTGTGAAATTTGAGATTTAAATAGCTGAAATCATGAAATTTACGATTTTTAAAATCCTATGACCATGAAATTGACTAAAATGGATGTGAATTTGATAGGGCTCTACTCATAGTTGACAGACTTGAATGCTGCTGAGAGGTCCAGGAGAATGAGAATAGCTGTCTGCCCACTTTTCAACAACAGCAGGAGATCATATATCAGTGCCCCAAAAACTGTTCTGTCCCACATCCTGGCATGAATCCAGATTGTATTGGTGTCTCCTTTAGAGCATCCCTATGCCAGAAGCTAGCAGTGAGTTTCAGCTGGCATGACCAGTTCAGTATAACGCTACTAACTATTGTTATACTCTCTATCTAAAAGGTGTCATAGAATCATAGAATATGAGGGTTGGAAGGGACCTCAGGAGGTCATCTAGTCCAACCTCCTGCTCAAAGCAGGACCAATCCTCTACTAAATCATCCCAGCCAGGGCTTTGTCAAGCTTGACCTTAAAAATATCTAAGGAAGGAGATTCCACCACCTCCCTAGGTAGCACATTCCAGTGTTTCACCACCCTCCTAGTGAAAAAGTTTTTCCTAATATCCAACCTAAACCTCCCCCACTGCAACTTGAGACCATTACTCCTTGTTCTGTCATCAGCTACCACTGAGAACAGTTTAGATCCATCCCCTTTGGAACCCCCTTTCAGGTAGTTGAAAGCAGCTATCAAATCCCCTCTCATTCTTCTCTTCTGCAGACTAAACAATCCCAGTTCCCTCAGCCTCTCCTCATAAGTCATGTGTTCCAGTCCCCTAATCATTTTTGTTGCCCCTCGCTGGACTCTTTCCAATTTTTCCACATCCTTCTTGTAGTGTGGGGCCCAAAACTGGACACAGTACTCCAGATGAGGCCTCACCAATGTCGAACAGAGGGGAATGATCACGTCCTTGATCTGCTTGCAATGCCCCTCATATACATTCCAAAATGCCATTGGCCTTCTTGGCAACAAGGGCACACTGTTGACTCATATCCAGCTTCTCGTCCACTGTAACCCCTAGGTCCTTTTCTGCAGAACTGCTGCCGAGCCATTCGGTCCCTAGTCTGTAGCGGTGCATGGGATTCTTCCGTCATAAGTGCAGGACTCTGCACTTGTACTTGTTGAACTTCATCAGATTTCTTTTGGCCCAACCCTCTAATTTGTCTAGGGCCCTCTGTATCCTATCCCTACCCTCCAGCGTATCTACCTCTCCTCCCAGTTTAGTGTCATCTGCAAACTTGCTGAGGGTGCAATCCACACCATCCTCCAGATCATTTATGAAGATACTGAACAAATCCGGCCCCAGGACCGACCCTTGGGGCACTCCACTTGATATCAGCTGCCAACTAGACATGGAGCCATTGATCACTACCCGTTGAGCCCGACAATCTAGCCAACTTTCTATCCACCTTATAGTCCATTCATCCAACCCATACTTCTTTAACTTGCTGGCAAGAATACTGTGGGAGACCGTGTCAAAAGCTTTGCAAAAGTCAAGGAAAAACATGTCCACCGCTTTCCCCTCATCCACAGAGCCAGTTATCCAGTCATAGAAGGCAATTAGATTAGTCAGGCATGACTTCCCTTGGTGAATCCATGCTGACTGTTCCTGATCTCTTTCCTCTCCTCTAAGTGCGTCAGAATTGAATCCTTGAGGACCTGCTCCATGATTTTTCCAGGGACTGAGGTGAGGCTGACTGGCCTGTAGTTCCCAGGATCCTCCTTCTTCCCTTTTTTAAAGATGGGTACTATATTAGCCTTTTTCCCAGGCGTCCGGGACTTCCCCAGATCGCCATGAATTTTCAAAGATAATGGCCAATGGCTCTGCAATCACATCCGCCAACTCCGTTAGCACTCTCGGAAGCAGTGCATCCGGCCCCATGGACTTGTGCTTGTCCAGCTTTTCTAAATAGTCCCGAACCACTTCTTTCTCCACAGAAGGCTGGTCACCTCCTCCCCATGCTGTGTTGCCCAGTGCAGTAGTCTGGGAGCTGACCTTGTTCGTGAAGACAGAGGCAAAAAAAGCATTGAGTACATTAGCCTTTTCCACATCCTCTGTCACTAGGTTGCCTCCCTCACTCAGTAAGGGGCCTACGCTTTCCTTGACTTTCTTCTTGTTGCTAACATACCTAAAGAAACCCTTCTTGTTACTCTTAACATCTCTTGCTAACTGCAACTCCAGGTGTGATTTGGCCTTCCTGATTTCACTCCTGCATCCTCGAGCAATATTTTTATACTCTTTCCTGGTCAGGGGGAGGGATAGCTCAGTGGTTTGAGCATTGGCCTGCTAAATCCAGGTCAGTGAGTACAATCCTTGAGGGGGCCATTTAGGGATCTGGGGCAAAAATTGGGGATTGGTCCTTCTTTGAGCAGGGGGTTGGACTAGATGACCTCCTGAGGCCCCTTCCAACCTTGATATTCTATTCTATTCTATGATTTGTCCAATTTTCCACTTCTTGTAAGCTTCTTTTTTGTGTTCAAGATCAGCAAGGATTTCACTTTTAAGCCAAGCTGGTCGCCTGCCATATTTACTATTCTTTCTACACATCGGGATGGTTTGTCCCTGTAACTTCAATAAGGATTCTTTATAATGTCATATAATGTGTCACTAGAAAACTAATAACTCATGGATCACTAATATTCTGGCATGTTGTATATACTATCAACACCCAAAGGATTATGTAGATGTGCTGGAATTATGATTAAAACGTGTTTAAATTAGGCATGTCAGGGGATGTTGATAAATAGGTTTTTTTTTTTTTCCAGACAAAAGAATGCGGTTCCCACATAATTTGAGCAAGGTGTGACAAAGAAAAGCACATTTGCATGCCAGGCAATCAAAACTATCAGGAGACCAAGTAGGAGGAAAATGATCACTAAGGCCTTGTGTACACTACCAAGTTTTGTTGCTAAAAACTGCCTTTTGGCAACAAAATAGCAGGAGCGTACACGCTACAATGGGACTTTTGCCACAAAAAATGCCCAGTTTTGGCAACAAAAAACTTCCACCTCTATGGAGACTTGTCTTTTCCCCTCCCTTTATTGTTGACAAAGAGCCAGTGTAGACACTGCTGATTGTTTTGTCAACAGAACTGGCTTCCCCAGTATCCCACAATGCCTGCCCTGATTGCTCTGCTCAGTGTTTTGATCTCTGATGCCCTACAGGCATGCGCCCCGCCCCTCCCCTTTCAAAGCTCTGGGAAGTATCTGTGTGCTGCTCTGTTTGGGGAACAAACAAACCAAGAGCAAATCATTGGCATGCTCCTGTTCTGCCCTGCACTAGGAACACAGCAGCAGGCAGACTGCTACTACAGCAGGAGGGGGACAGACTGCTGTGCTGCCTTGCCATTCCTCAACATGGAGAGCTCACAGGGCTACTCATGATGCTGCTCTCGGCAGCTGAGGGGGCTGTGGGAGAACTTGGAGAGAATCCCAAGATGCTCAGCGATCAGCTCTTCCTTCCCACAACACTGCACTTTGGGATACATACCCACGGTGCATTGCTCACCCTGTCGATGATGGTGTCCCCAATGTGGACATGATCTGTCGACAGAGGGAGCAAGCGTGAACACGCTTTGGTGATTTTTGTTTTGTCAACTTTTGGGTGTCAACATACGTTGCGTCAACAACGTGTAGTGGAAGTGTAGACCAGCCCTAAATCTCAATGAGAATGGAAACTGCACCCCCAAGAAGCGTTTCTTCCTCTTGAAGCAGGGTCAATGAGCTTTGAGAAGAGATACTTTTAAAAGGTTTACTGGACTATAAAGAGAGGGGCAGAGAGCCCTTAAGTTATTCTTCACCTATGGAGACAAGAATGGGGATCCTTAACTAAGACCTAGTCTGCCATTGCTGGAAAAGGAAGACTGGTGAGGACACTATCTTGAATGAAGATTGCAGCTGGTTAAGTTAGATCTTAGCCATTAGAAAGTGTGTTTTTACTTCTGTCTGTAACCCTATCTTTATGCCTTTTGCTTTAACTCACTTAAAACCTCTCTCTTTTTGATTAAACAAATTTGTTTTACTTTTTAGCTAAACCAACCCTGTGCTTTGACTGAACTGAAGTGATGGATAACTACAGTCAAGAAAACACACTGCTGTTTGTGTCTCTTTAAAGGATTAGCAAACTTAATATCCTCTATGAATGTACAATGACAGGGGTCAAGGGCTGGAGCTGACTAATTGTTCCCTGGTAGGCAAGGTTTGGGCTGGGAGAACCCTGAGCAGTTTGCCGGCAAGGCAGACAAGCTGGTGTGTCAGGGAACTGTCACAGTTTAGCTGCAGCAAAGCTCCCACTTGCTGAGGCTAAGAAGGAGAGCACAGTGTCTCACAGCTCTGGGTATCTCCCGCAGCTTGTGACAGTCAGGCCGAGGACATTAGTTCTTTGGCTAGCTTCTCTATGAGCTTTCCTCAGGATTGGAAAGTCCGTACTTCCTGAGCTCTTATGGTCACAGTTTAGGATCCAACTCTGTCCTGATATAAATGGAATTGACACAATGGAAGTTATGTCTATCGGAGAACTGGGCCTTTTATATTTGGATTCCTTCCAAAATACATTTTTGCCCATTTTGTTAACACTAAAATTCAATGCACAATTATTTTCAACCAAATCAAGACCATTCAAAATTTCAAAAAGGAGCCATTCTAAAGATTTTTAATCTCAAAGTATTTAATTAAAACGTTCTCAGAAACACTTTCTAGCAGGTACTGAAACTTAAATCTATAATTGAAAACATGAAGATCTCTCTGTTTTCGGTGTTACCAAAGGCTCAAACTGGAATTGTGGTCATCCAGTTACAAAAAACACAGGCCTTTACCACTTGAACTTTGAAATGAAAATTTCTTTTAGCTATCACCTATAGAAGTGTACATGTCTGATACTGCTCCCACTAAAGTCAATGGCAAAAAAACTTCCACTGAAATCAGGGGGAGCAATATCGGGATCCAAACTAACGACAAAAAGTTAATAACTTTACTTAATTACAACCTCTTTTCTTGATATCTAGATGGTGCAGGAATTTGAGGAGATTTAACAGGAGCTTGAGGAGAAAAATTAACAAGAAGTTTTTGAGCTACAGTGACCCCAAAATACATTAGACCCAAGTCAAAATCTAAAATCAAGGTACATTTTAAAATAATCTGTAACTCAAAAGCTGTTTGACAAATTGCCTTCATACTTATGCCGAAAAATTCACTTTACCTTTCATTGTATATCTGAGAATTTTCAGGCCAAACTGATTTTTGAAGCCATGTTATTAGGGAGAAGGGGACAGGCAAATATAGGGTTTTACAATGGAAACTGGCTGCAACCTTAATATAGAGAAGGCTAATGCTTTGCTATAATTAAAAGCCATATGCAGACACCAAGATTCAGATTCATTCGAGTGAAAAGTTGTATCAAAGCAGAGTGTAGTAACTGCTGGCATCAGTTAATACCTGTAATCTGCTCCAAGAGAAGCGGCAACAGCATTCAGTTCACTTTGCTTTTTACTGAGTTTCTTACTAACACATATGACTAGATCAGCAAGAGGTTTTGAATCTTCCACCTGTTCATGGTCATGGGGAAAAATATGAAAAAAATCACGTTCTGAGCATCTTTAAACCAACACATTTGTAATGATAAAGAAGGGAAACTACTTAGCAGAGTTCTGCTTATCTCTGCTTCCTGAATCTCCCCATTATTAAGGGAGTGCTGTTATGGCTCCACATGCCAGGAACCAGGACTCAAAAGACTTATCTCACAAAGTCTCATAAGAATATCTCACACCTCTTTCTTAGCAGTCTGAAATCTTCTTGAACTTTTAAACAGGGAAAATACTAAAACTGCCTACACAAAAACATCTTAGTATAAAGGTGAATGGGGGCCCAAAATGTTCATAGCATGAAGGGAGTGAGAAAGAGGAGAGTACAGCATGACAAATTACTGTTAATCTTCCCTGGCAAACGTCATTCCATTTCTCCATTCTCATACTGATTACAGAGTACAAGTGTGGCAATTAATACAAAGCACTGCCTTTGCCTGCATCTTCGGTCCACTGCACCGCACCTGCTGTACTTTTCTCCCACATTTCTGTTTTCTATTCTCTCTAACTTTGCTCTCTGCATGATAGATCAGATTTAGTACAAAAAGGAATCATGAAAAGACTGTGCTCCTTGCTTCCAGGAAAGAGATGTAAACACACTACTAGGAACATGAGGAAAACTCATGTTATTGTGGAGGTGAGAGTGAGAAATATTTTGCCTCCTGCTTCCGAGTAAGTGAAGCAATAACAGCACTCTAAGAGGATGGGGGAAAAGGGAGATGCATGACAAAAATAAATTCCAATAACTTCACAGAAAATAATGGGTGTTCTCCAATATTACAGTTAATCAGAGTAAAAGTATTTACCCTTGCCCACTGTTTTCATGACACCAGACACTGGGAATTCCTTAACAGTGATGAGCTATAAGTTCTAGAACTATGGAATATCAACAGTTACATGTTTATATACACATATTGCCTAACAATTGTTAAACCAGGTCAGTAGAACAAACATCTTTAAATGAGTTTCTCTGCCTTTTAGGAGTCAAAATTACTGGTCTTGCCTCTTTCAACTGAAACAAAAGGACAGGTAATGTTCTGCGTGAACATATCAAAATACAGTATCAAAGCTAACATGATTCATAACTCTCATGTAAAGCTAAGCATCTTCTAACTCAACTACATGATTACACCGCATGTTCTTAATTAACTAAATTTTAAAAAGAGCATAATCCTACCACTTCTGCTTGTGCAGCCCGCAGCTGAGGGCTGGCAGTAAGAGCTGCTGTATGACGAGTGCTGTTTGCCAGAGCCAATTTCAAGTTCCTGCCAATGACTTCAGAAAGAGGAGTACTCGGATTCCTGTTTCTCTGATTGGGAGCCCCTGGAGTTTCCAAAGCTGCCAGGGCATCCTACCAAAAAGAGTAAAGAAATAATAATTGAATCAATATAGATGAACTATCCTTTCTCCAGGATCAAAAGTTCTCTCATTGAATAGCAGGCTCCCCTAATGCAATCTACATTAAGGCTTCATACTATTCAAACACCAACCCACTTCTTATTTGTATTACAGTAGAATCTACAGACCCCAAACAAGATTGGGGTCCCGCTGTGTTAGGCATTATACAGACATAGCAAAAGACAGCCCTTACCCCACAGTTCTTGCAATCTACATAGACAAGACAGACGAAGGACAGGACAAAGTAACATCTCAATTTTACAGATGGAGAATTGAGGAAATAGAGATTACTGAATCATAGAAATGTAGAACTGGAAGGGACCTCAACAGGTCATCTAGTCCAGTCCCTGGCATGGAGGCAGGACTACGAATTCTCGACCATCCCTGACAGGTTTTTGTCTCCAGCGGTTCTCAAACTTTTGTATTGGTGATCCCTTTCACACAGCAAACCTATGAGTGCGACTCCCCCCCCCCCCTTTATAAATTAAAAGCACTTATTTATATTTAAACACTATTATAAATGTTGGAGGTAAAGCGGGGTTTGGAGGTGGAGGCTGACAGCTCGCGACCCCCCCATGTAATAAGCTTGCTACCCCTGGAGGAGTCACGACCCCTAGTGTGAGAACCCCTCATCTAACCTGTTCTTAAAAACCTTCAATGACAGAGATTACACAACCTTCTTAGATAATTTGTTCCATTGCTTAACTACCCTTACAGTTAAGAAGTTTTTCCCAATGTCTCACCTAAATCTCTGTTGCTGCAATTTAAGCCCATCACTTCTTGTCATGCCCTCAACAGTTAAGGAGAACAAATCATCACCCTCCTCTTTATCATATCTGTTTTAAGTACTTGAAGACTTATGTCCCTCCTCAGTCTTCTGATCTCCAGACTAAACAAACCCAGTTTTTTTCCAATCTTTCCTCAGAGGTCACGTTTTCTAGATCTTTAATCATTTTTGTTGCTCTCCTTGGACTTTCTCCAATTAGTCCACATTTTCCCTGAAATGTGGTGCCCAGAACTGGACACAATACTCCAGCTGAGGCCTTATCAGTGCTGAACAGAGTGAGAGAATTACTCCTTGTATCTTGCTTACAAGACTCCTGCTAATACATCCCAGAATTATGCTTGTTTTTTTGGCAACAGTGGTAAATTGTTGACTCTTATTTATTTTGTGATCCACTGTAACTCCCAAATCCTTTCCTGCACTACTCCTTCCTAGACAGTCATTTCCCATTTAGTATTTGTGTAACAAATTGTTCCTCCCTAAATGCAGTACTTTGCATTTGTCCTTATTGAATTTCATCCTATTTATTTCAGACCATTTCTCCAGTTTGTCAAGATCATTTTGAATTTTAATCCTGTCCTCCACACTGCTTGCAACCCCTCTCAGCCTGGTATCATCCACAAACTTTATAAGCGTACTTTCTATGCCATTATCCAAATAATTTATGAAGATATTGAATAGAACTGGACCCAGGACAGATCCCTGCGGGACCCACTCGATATGCCTCTCCAGTTTGACTACTCTCTGAGTAGTTTTCCAGCCAGTTGTACACACATCTTATAGTAAATTTGCCTAGGCTGTATTTCACTAGTTTATTAAAAGGTCATGTGAGACAGTAACAAAAACCTTATGAAAGTGGGCTGCGTCCCCCTTATCAACAAGGCTTGTTACCTGTCAAAGAAGCATATTAGGTTGGTCTGACATGATTTGTTCTTGACAAATTCATGCTGACTGTTACTTATCGCCTTATTTTCTTTTAGATGCTTACAAATTGATTGATTGATTATTTGCTCCATTATCTTTCTGGGTACCTACATTAATCTGACTGGTCTATAATTTCCTAGGTTGTCCTTATTTCGCTTTTAAAAGTACACCTATACCCCAATATAACGCGACCCGATATAACACGAATTCGGATATAACACGGTAAAGCAGCGCTCCAGGGGGGCAGGGCTGCGCGCCAGTGGATCAAAGCAAGTTCGATATAACGTGGTTTCATGTGTAACGCAGTAAGATTTTTTGGCTCCCGAGGACAGCGTTATATCGGGGTAGAGGTGCACTATATTTGACCATTTACAGTCCTGGGGTATCTCTCCCATCCTCCATGAGTTCTCAAAGATAACCACTAATGGCTCAAAGACCTCTTCAGCCAGCTCCTTAAGGATGTATTTCATCAGGCCCTGCCGCCTTGAAAACATCTAACTTGTTTAAAGTAATTCTTAATCATTCTTTTCCTATTTTAGCCTTAGATCCTACCCCATTTACACTAGTGTTCACCATGTGAGTCGTCTAATCACTGCTAACTTTTCCAGTGAAAAGTGAAACAAAAAGGCATTTAACACTTTAACCATTGCTGCATTTTCTGCTGTTATCTTTCCCCCCCTCATTGAGTAATGAGCCTACTCTGTCCTTGGTCTTCCTCTTGCTTCTCATTTATTTGTAAAATGTTTACTTGTTACCTTTTATGTCCCTAGCTAGTTTAATCTTGTTTTTTGCCTTGGCCTTTCTAATTTTGTCCCTACATGCGTGTGGGTTTTTTTTATATTCATCCTTCCTAATTCAACTTACTTTCCACTTTTTGTATCACTGTTTTCTGAGTTTCAGATCACTGAAGATCTCCTACTTAAGTATGGTCTTTTACCATACTTTCTGTTTTTCCTACACATTGGGATAGTTAGTAAAGGCACAAAAGCAATGTTTCTTTAAAAAACTGCCAACTCTCCTGAACTCTTTTTTTCCCCTTAGATTTGCTTCCCATGGGATCTTACCTACCAATTCTTTGAGTCTGCTAAAATCTGCCTTCTTGAAGTCCACTGTCTTTATTCTGCTGTTTTCTCTCGTACTTTTCCTTAGAATCACAAACTCTATGAACACTTTCACCCAAACTGCCTTCCACCTTCAAATTCTCAACTAATTCCTCCCTATTAGTCAGAATCAAATCTAAAATTACCTCTCCCCTACTCGCTTTCTTCTAGCTCACACAAGAAGCGTATGGAAGAGCCAGGAACCAAATTAAGATCTCCAGAGCCCCAGTCCCATGCTCTAACCACAGGACTAGCCTCTCTCTATACTCTCTTCTTTAATATCTATTCAAATATGACCTAGAGCACAGATCCAGTTTTTTTCTATTTGCCTCTTTAGAAATGCCTAAAATAGTCTGAAAAGGGATTTATACCACACCCATCTTCAAATTTACTGCCCTCTACTTGAAATTAGAAGCTGTGGTCCTGTCCACTTTGTTTTTCCTTAGCTGTTATGGAAAAATGAAAAATAATAAATTTAGGACAGCAGAGAAACCGTGTGTGTGAAACTGGCTTTACTGAGAAAGGAAGTGATTTATATTCAAACTGTTTGGGGTTTGTTGTTTTTAACAGTGTTTAACTTAATTGGGGAAAAGAGCTCTCTGTTTATATTCAGTACCTCCACTGAGTAAGCTTCTAGTAAACACTTGAGTCAGTCAAGAAATCCAGCACTCATATATCTAAGGTTAAACAAAAGGCAAATGACCTTTTTTATGCAAGAGAAAGAGGCAGAAAAGGGCAAAAATCCAGTCTATTTTTTTCCATTTGCAGGCCATCTTTAAGACAGATGTCTCCCCTTCACCTACTTCTTTCTCTATCTTCATGCAACTACATCTTTGTACGAGAGGGATAATGGCTACTGTTCTTTCAGATGTATAAGGATTATCACAGTAAAGTAGTAGTTCTGTAGAAGCCAAGAGCAACAGAAAATCAAGGGCATGCTTGGGGAAAGGAGAATCAAAGAATAATGTTACAAGGAAATTAATATTGAAGGATAAGCAAGAAAGCTTAAATGTATACGTTTAAAAGCGTACATAGTCCACTGGAAACTATTTCACTATGGGCCAAATACAGACTATTTTATGATAGTTGGCAAAAACTGTAACTCTTCTACTAAAATTTCACTGTTTTTTTAAAAGAGCAACACAGACCAGGTAACATAGGTCATTGCTTTAGGACCCTCTGGTATATACTGCAATAGGCACACTGGGCTTTGTTATGGGTGCTATAGTATCTATTTCTCAAAATGTTCAGGCTTTAATTATTTTTATATGCTTTAAGTATCAGTTCTAATAACCCCGTCCCTTAGAACAAGTGAATTTTCAGAACTGCCTGCCAAACTAAAAATCCTAGAAGTATTTTATTTGTGTGTTATTAATACGCACTCTTTACAAAAGGTTAGCATAGGGGGTTTTGTGCCTTTTTCATTCACACACATATGACCCTGGGGGCACTACTGGTTTAGAAACTTGCAAAGGAGTTTACCTTTACATCGAATGAAGGCTTGAAGAGCTTATCTTTGGAAAGAAATTTGGATGGTGTGTCAAGATGCAAAGACGGTTCTTTCTGGAGCAGTCTTCCTTCTGCAGGAAGGGTTGGCTTTTGCCCAATATGGTGCGAGATCACACTATGGAAAGCTTTACTCTGGAACCGGTTCACATCAAGAGGCGTCACAGCTATTTTCTTCCCAGCTTCAAGGAAATTGCTAGGATGGTCTGGTATATCTGAAGACATTATAGTTGTCTCTGTCTTGTTGGACTGACTCATTAAACTCTCTTCTTTATCTTAAATGAAATAAAGAAAATTATAATTAAGCACCACGATTTTTTCCCTTAATATAAATATGCATATACTTGCATTATGCTAAGGACTTTATTTATCCAATATTTTGTTGTTCTACATATGTTCTAAAATGAAGGGAGGATTTTTGTTTTTAAGTTCCTATGTTCTACACTAGTGCTTGTGTTATACCACATTATTACTGTGCTAGGCCTTAAATGCCTAAAAGAAGAGTAACCCTTGTCTCTCTCATACTGTCTTGTGCTTCAGTGAATTTTAAAGTATTAAACCAAGAACAGGAACATTTAATTATGACACAGTTGAAAAGCTACAGATACTCACCTGTTTTCTCTTTAATGACCAGCAGCTTCACTATAGACTGAAATGTTAATGGCATAAATACTGCTAATCAGCACTGGGTAAAGCTGAGGAATCTGAGAAATCAGAGATGGAAAAGATCTGTTAGGCAAGGGGTCGACAACCTTCGGCACACAGCCCATCAGGGTAATCCACTGGCATGCCATGAGACATTTTGTTTACGTTGACCATCCGCAGGCACCGCCCCCTGCAGCTCCCAGTGTCTGCGGTTTACTGTTCCTGGCCAATGGGAGCTGTGGGAAGTGGTGTGGGCCGCAGGGATGTGCTGGTCATCACTTCCTGCATCTCCCATTGGCCAGGAACGGCAAACTGCGGCCACTGCAAGCTGCGGGGGGCTGTGCCTGTGGATGGTCAACGTAAACAAAATGTCTCATGGCCCACCAGCGGATTACCCTGATGGGCTGTGTGCCAAAGGTTGCCGACCCCTGTGTTAGGCAATCTAGTCCATCATGTTGCCAACTTTTCTCTGCTGTATTATTCTCCAACTCTTTGCCAACCCAGCTTTTAAATGACTTCAGTAATAGGGCTTCTAACACATCCTCTGGAAGGCTCACATTTTATATTTAATTGTACGTTTTTTGAAGCGCGGACTTCATAGTGCTGGGTGGCGTTGGTGGCCTGTGATATATAGCAAGTAGAACTACCTGGTGGTCCCTTGTGGTCTTAAACTCTACAACTGTACAGAGTCTAGTACTACAGCTCCTCAAACCAGTTTACACCCTCTGGTTGCTACTCTAAAACAAATATTAAATAAAAAAACCCTCAAAATTAGGATTTCCCCCCCTCATTTTCAGGCTGCATGTTTTCCTTTGCTCAGTTTCATTCCATTACTACTAATTACACTCCCTTAGGCCACCCTGTAAAATTCTGCTCCCTCTTTTGGCCAAATCTTGGTCTCATTCAAGTCAACAGACACTGGCCCTTGGAGTTTACACACTTCAAATACACATACATAAATATGACTTGTAGTCTGAATTATCTTTTTGTCAAACATATATAATTGGTTTTACATAAAATCATTCCTTCCAGTCCCTTAATCATTTTGTTGCTTTTCTCCGAATTCCTACTCAACCTGTCAAGATCCTTCTGGCACTGAGGTGCCAAGAGCTGAATGCAGTATTGCAGGTATGTTTTTAAATCACTACAATTTTATGGAGCCCACAAATGCATTGGTAAGAACTAGTGAGTTAGTTGGTATTCAGTATTAATGAGTCCAGTTTGCGTCTCAATTCTAAAAGGGGCACTGTAATTTAAGGTTTGTTTTGTTGAGAAAAACATTTTACAGAACCTTCCTTCTCTTGTAAAATAGTTTTTAATTAGATTTAAACACTATTCCACAGTGTTTTACAATTTAACACAACAGTATCATGTAAAGGAGTGTAAACCAGAAAGTGCAAATAACTAGACATTGGGCTAGATCCTCAGTTGATATAAATCAGCATACCTCCATTGACTTCAGTACAGCTACACAGTGATTTACCCCAGCTAAAGATCTGGGCCACGGACTATAAACAAGTGGAAACGACTAGCCTTTATAGTCTAAGCTTAGGGATAGGCAAAAAATAAACATCTTAACTAGCAAAAAGTAAATTATAAGATGAAAAGTCTTTCGGTTTTAATAGTTTAAGGTCCTAAGTATTAGAAATCAGCTTATACTCAAAAATTTCTCTTAACGACAGTGCAATGCAGTGGAACATGGCATGATTAAGGTATATTAAAACAAACAAGAAAACACAAAAGACAACCAACCTCCAGCATTAACATTTTCAACTGGGAACTTGCTTTCATCTGCTTTCTTTCCTGTCCTTGCAGACTGCAAGAGCCAAGCCATAGTGACTGCAGGTAAATTCCATTTCTTTGCTGCTTCATACTTAGAACCATCTGGCTCTTTGACCACTAGGTGGGTGCTGGCAAACATTCCTTTCGTTGGGTTGGCTCTTCGCACAAAGAATTCCTGGACTCTGAAATAAGCGTATATAAGTAACCATTCAAAAACACAGTCATTGTTTAGACTGTTCCTGTTAGCACTACAGAGCCAACAAAGGTATGGAAGAGTGAGCTGGGTTCTAGTTCTGCTCGGGTATCATAAACAGAACTGTTAACTAACTTCCAAAAGCAGGGCCACATTCTTCCCTCACTTACACCTGTACAACTCCACTAAAGACAATGTGGTGCACACTTTTAACTGGAATGGGGGTAGAGTTGACTACAGATTTTTTTTTAAACTGATGACAATGCACAAGCCAAAAACTTCAGCTAAATTTCTATATCTCAGGCTGAGTTTTTATGGCTGGCAACCAGGGAGAAAAAAAGGTTTTACTTGTACAATGAGCAAACTCCATGAAAATCATTGACCAAGTAAGTATGGACAACCACAAATGTCCCAGTCTTCCTCCCCCTCCTTTTAGGAGCCATTCATTTGGTAAAACTAAAGAAGTCTAGAACAAAATTTAACTCTAAACTCAGTTTTTTGCTCATTTTTTCTCTAATGTGACTAAACACTTGAAAAATTTTTAGATGCCAGAAAATGAACGTAAGTGTCAACAGACTCCATACCTCGCTCCAAGAAGACCTGCCAAGAACACCAGGGAGTCTCTCTCGGCACCAGTAAACTGGCTGAAAGACAGTACACAGTCTTCCAGAGGAGTGCTTCCTTCCATTACTGATACTGGGGTGAAAAGTGGGTTGGACTGAGGGTTTAAAAGGAGCTGCTGTTCTACACACATAATCTTAAAAAATGATGAAATAAATGAAAATGAGAACCAAGCCAAGAGAAAAGAATACGACAAACATTATTTCAGCCATTGTACTACAGGATTTATGGAATCAACAGCAAGTCATCCCTTTGTCTTTGTGCCTCCAGGTCAAATTAGAACATGTATTATTCTATATGTGATCAGATAAATTACTTCAAAAGATCCAGAAAGTTTCAGTCAAATTCACATTAAGATTTAAGCCTTCTAAATTTCTATTTTTCCAACAATGAATACAGCTTTAAAACATTTTAAAACCCAATCTAAGAGTTAGCATGGGTTTTATTTCACAGTTAATTATCTAATAATGAAAAACACCAAATGGCAATTAATCCAGGTGCTAAGCATTATCTAGGTCAACATATTTAAATGTTTGACCACCTGAGCTATAATGTCAGCCCGCAATTGCATCACCCAGATACAGCTACATATGTTATTAGAGAGATATGGGGAAGTGTGGGGCAAGAGAAAAAAAGATAGCTTACTAAACAGAAGTTAAAACAGAAATGTCATTCACAACTTAACTGCACCTAGCTCTCTCTTCATAACCCTATTATGCAGGCAACTAGAGCAGAGTCTTGTGTACAAAGTCTTTGTGCCACTAAGTCAGAATCTGATTTAATAAAGCAGGAAGAAATAAATGAGACAGGTAAAAGACATACCTATAAAGAAGAAGTGCATTAAAGCACTCTCTTAATTTGGTGTACACTAATTAAACAAAGCTAAAACCTCTGTTCTAATGAAAATATAACCATCAATAACTTTTTGGTTTCTATATGTCTAACACTAATATTTGTTTGGTCATAGCTCTACAGTATACCCTTACCATCCATGTGTTTGTAACAACATCTCCTACAGTTGACTCCACCTTGCATCCCAATAAAGGAACCACAGCATAGTCTGCAATTGCTCTGTTTTGAGGGGGTAGAACTTTCCCAGCATTCTCCTTTATAATTTCTACAATGCAGGACTCATCCTCTTCACCAAAACCCAAAAGAAGGAACCTCTTTCTGCTGAATAAGCCTTCTTCAACCACTGTAGAAGTCTCAGTCAGTGAACTGTGACAGATAGAGGACTGCTTCTCTTCTTGAATGGTAACATGAGTAGCATCACTGAAGTTACCAGTTTCTAGCTTTTCAACTTCAACTAAAATAGAAAAAATAACCACTTGATGAAAATTTCACACACTGGGATGTAAGGGAGAAAATGAGTTTCAACCATCCTATTAGTTATTAATTGAAAATAATGCAGTACTGGAACCCAATATTTTAGATTCCATTTACAAACTGCTCAATATGAGGCATGCTTACATCTAATTTATGTTGTTTTCTTAAGCACAATAGGGAAATTAATATACAAACCATGTCAAGATTTTAAAAATGTACATGCTACGGGGTATGAATCGCAATTTCTTTACATATGATTAAAATCAGGTAACTACATTTTTCTATGTCCATCTTAGTAGATGGCACCACAAGTTTTTCATAAGAGCTATACATAAATTTTGTCTTTTTATGAAGTGCTTGGACCAGAACTTACTTAATGTGGAATCATTATTCACATATTGAGAGAGGAGGTCATCTTCATCTGCTTTCTGGTGCTGTACAAGCTTTACAGCTTCTTTTTTTGTGAGACTATTACTTTTGGGAACAGTTCGTTTAACTCCAGGTTGCTCCAAAACTGGATTTTCTATTGGCTGGTAATTCAGAGAGATATACTGCTCCACTGGAAGTAAGTAACCCTTACCAAAGCACTCCAGCAACCATTTTGCTGTCACTGCATGAGGCCTATAAAATAAAATTATTTTTTATATTACACACACAGGTAAGATAGGTTAAAATGCGTTTGAGAGTCATATTTTTTTTCCTCTCAGACACTGCTCACTCTACAAGTACACTTGTGTTTCTGTAAGAAGTTTGGGACACTCATCTGACTTCAGTTACAACAAAAAAGTTTGAGTTTTATCCACACTGCAGCCTTTTTTGCATTTTTTGAATATTTCAAAGTTTGAGAATATGGATTTTTACACATATTTTCTACAAGAAATACAACCAAGAAAATGTAATTTATCACAAATATTTAGGGTTTCTAGAATTTTCATATAATCCTCACCAGCTAATATTTTTTTCTGTTGAATGTGAGGAGACTCAAGGAGCTTGGCTTGTTAAGCCTAACTAAAAGAAGGATGAGTAGAGATATGATTGCTCTCTATAAATATATCAGAGGGATAAATACTGGAGAGGGAGATGAATTATTTAAGCTGAGTACCAATGTGGACATAAGAACAAATGGATATAAACTGGCCACCAGGAAGTTTAGACTTGAAATTAGATGAAGGTTTCTAACCATCAGAGGAGTGAAGTTTGGGAATAGCCTTCCAAGGGAAGCAGTGGGGGCAAAAGATCTATCTGGCTTTAAGATTAAACTCGATAAGTTTATGGAGATGGTATGATGGGATAACATGATTTTGGTAATTAATTGATCTTTAAATATTCATGGTAAATAGGCCTAATGGCCTGTGATGAGATGTTAGATAGGGTGGGATCTGAGTTATCCAGGAAAGAATTTTCTGTAGTATCTGGCTGGTGAATCTTGCCCATATGCTCAGGGTTTAGCTGATCGCCATATTTGGGGTCGGGAAGGAATTTTCCTCCAGGGCAGACTGGAAGAGGACCTGGAGGTTTTTTGCCTTCCTCTGTAGCATGGGGCACGGGTCACTTGCTGGATGATTCTCTGCTCCTTGAAGTCTTTAAACCACGATTTGAGGACTTCAATAGCTCAGACATAGGTGAGGTTTTTCAGGAGTGGGTGGGTGAGATTCTGTGGCCTGCGTTGTGCAGGAGGTCAGACTACGTGATCATAATGGTCCCTTCTGACCTAAATATCTATGAATCTATAATGGTCCCTTCTGACCTTAGTATCTATGAATCTATGAGATACCCTACCTAAAAAACACTATTCCCAGTGGTAAAATGTTGTTGATTAGTTACCACAACTTAATGGTCTTTACCATTTTTATCTCTATGGTATACACAGCTATTTAGTTTAAAAAAAAAGAAATTTAATCAATACATATTTTCTTTGTTTACAAGAGGAAACATGATTATGGAAGTGTCTTTTAAGCAACATAGTTATCAGAACCTGTGAGTAGTCTTGCTCAAAAACTGCTTCAGTTCATCATTATATTCTCCCACAATAACATGGGTGACATCTTCATTGAGCTGATTAAATCGAACACCACCACCAGAGTTAATAAGCCTTCTCATTTTATCTAACTTCCTGCCACTGAAGCCACAGAGATAAATCTGCAAGGAGAAAGAAAAGAACAAGGTAAGATATTTTTGGTTGAAGTAGCTGTATTTTGATACCGTTCATTACCCAATCAAAGAAACATACAAATACACAAGCTTTAGCTTATGAAAAATTGCAAAGAAAAAATTATTCCATCCTCAGTGCTCATCCTTGTGACTTCGTCTTGCACAACTCAACTTCCCACTAACAGAAGGAAATGCCAATAAAATATTTCCCATTAAATAAAGTTGCCAATACTGCTTCACATCTTAACCAACTCCAATTTGAAGACACTTTTTCCAGTACCCCAAATACGTTATAAACAGTCTAGTTTGGTTTATCTTGAAATAGATTATATCTTTGTGCTGGGAGTAGGACTAACATTTTACTGTAGCAATAACTACAGAAGACCCAGACTAGCTGCATTCAAAGGATAACTGGTCATTTCAGAATTGTACATAGTTAAACTTACTCGACACCCATCTAGTAAATCATCAGGGGCTTGAAAAGAACTGATATCCACATTTTCCAGATCATCAGGAGGAGGATCCAGCCTGCTGTTCAAAGCAGAGCTACATGCAGTTTCATTAATGCCATTCAAACTGATATTGGAAATGTGGCTGACATCTGAAAGGGTACGATCTTTAAATAAAGTTAAAATAAAAAAGACGAAAATAAGTTACTCTCCCACTGCTTAACCAAACAGAATGTATGACTGTCAAATATGATTTTACCATGCTAATAAGGAAGACAAAACCTGAGAACCACAATAATGCATAGTCTAGCCTCTGTTAAAATGTCGGGTTTCATTACACCAGAAGTCAGTATGCTCTCACTAGTAGCAACGGTGTTTACACAGAACTCATGTTCCTCTTTCTCCTGAAGAACTGTCAGTCTTAAGATGTGGGAGAACAGTTTATGAAAAATTATTCTGCCCAATCAGCTTTGTGGCCATCTACTAAATTAGATGTATTTACATTTGATATGAACATAGTCTGCTCTTGGATATTGCCCTCCAATGCTCCTAAGCGGACCAAAATATATATATTTATATATATATTAATATAAATTTATATATATATATTTATATTTTTGGTCCGCTTAGGAGCATTGGAGGGCAATATCCAAGAGCAGACTATGTTCATATCAAATGTAAATACACACACACACACACACACACATAAAAAAAATTGGGCCCTGACCCTGCAAACACACACACACTTAACTTCAAGCATGTGAATAAACCCATGTACTAAAATTTAAGCATGTGTTTGCAGGATCAGGGACTCATTACCAAAATTTTAGTGCAGTTAGAGTTGGTAGCAGCCCACTCAACTCAAACATTTCCTTTCTCTTAACTGAAATTTCATCAACTCACTCAATATACTGAGATGTCTTACTTACTGTCAGGTTTGCTAGCTTGGCTAGTAGGAGTTGATGTACTGGGTGTGGTATTTTGCTTTTGTACAGACTCTGTCTTATACATTGCCTCATCCTGGCAGAAGCCATTCTCGATACTGTCAAAAAACCACTGGATGGACACACACTGCACATTCCATTTTTTGGCACATTCATATTTCTGACCTTTATATAAAGACAAATCACAATCAATAAAAGGCTAATACTCCAATAAGTGACAATTCTGAAAGGATGACCACACATTGTAAAATCAAGGAAGTTAAAACAAAAACTGCATTTGGAAGTGGTAATTACCAATACATTCTCAAATACCAAGGGGCTTTTTCTCTATTCCAAGTGGCAGTTTACATCAAATTCACTAAAGCTGTATCAATGTAATTTGGTTCCTTTGACAGCACTATTGCCTATGATATAAAAGATTATTTGTTGATTTTATATTACATCTTTCATAATCAAGCTATCCTAATTTGCTTTAAAAGCAATGTTAAGTATGCTAGTGCAAGCACACTAGCCAAATAAGTCTAACACATCCTCGGACATTTTTATCTGTTAGGTTTTCTGTTTTGAAAACTGCCACAAGATCTTAAACATCCATCTGAACCGCAACAAGAAATTGGCAGAAGAAACTGCTAGATGTCAGATACAGATGAACAGCAATACTACTAAATAATAATCATACTAAGCACTATTTATGATTAATATACTTACCACTTACAGGATGCTATAAAATATCAGTTTTATAGTTCATCTGTACTTCACTGCAGTGCTAACATTAGACATTAGTCCAAAGTTCTGCTATGGAATTTGAAATCATGACTTTATGGACTAAAAACTATGTGTTTTTAAAATATATTATATATAAAAGCAAATGCATACTTTTCTTCACATACTTAAAATGGAAACAACTGTCAGCTAGCAAAAAAGTCATCTTGTGACCATGTTATTAGGGAGATATATTTCGCAGTTGTGACACCAAAGTTGCAAAACATCCAAGGTTAAAACTTTTGCAACCTTTTAACCAATATAATTGTATTGTGTACAGAAAATTAAAATATATGGTTGGCTGAGCTACCAACGATATTAAATCTCATCTACAATGAGCTGTTTAAAACGGTCCTAAATTAAAAAATAAAAAAAATCAAATAAAAAAAAATCAAATGAGGCAGTCAGCATTAGCACATTCTGTCATGTTGCAATCAGATTTTAAGTCTTACTTGGCTCACAAATTCCAGACTGACATGTTTTGGAAGTGTCTATACAGGTGTTTATACTGCTTTCATCATTCTGTTATCTGAGCACTCAAGCATTCAGACCCAGTGACGAAAATGCCTCACATTGTTCTGCCGAGCTGACAGTTCCACTAAAGGAGCTATGCCAAGCTCTTTGGCCAGAGACAGAATTGCCATAACAAGATCTTGGGGCTTCAAGAGGGGAAAAGAGAAATCACAAAATAATCGCCCAGGAAAAGTATGGAGGAAATTTAAAAATTCTGTCCAGTGTGTCTCAAACAAAACTACAAAGAACAATGTAGTGCTTTAATTTTATTTTCGTAAGAGGAAATTCAGAAATTTTAGTGGGAAAATTTTATCTTCAAGTTTATTTGTAATCCAATTAGTATCATCATTGAAATTCCTAAGTCTCCTAATTTCATCAAAATTTAGTTTAGATTCTATTTTTTCTTTTCTGAAGGCCTCTCCCCTTCCTCCTCTGATAGCGTTTGGGTCTCTGCTTGTGTGTCCCTTTTTGTTCTCATTTCCACCTTCCCTTAAGAATACTCTGTATCACTCTTCTTGCATATATTTATCCTAACAGCACTGGCAATAATAACAGCATAATGAAACAGATACAGACTTAGGCCCCGATTCTCCAAACACTTGTGCACATGCTTAGCTTTATGCTAAGTTGTCCCTTCAAATTTAAATTGACTGACGAATACCTACCTTTTGGCTCTTGAACAATGAGGTGGGTGCACTCATTCATCTTGAGCTGCCCTGTGTATTGACCACCATGCTCAGTAGTGAGACGCTGCACCTCCTTCCTGTCCACACTGCTTAAGCCAGTTACACAGATTGTACAGCCACGAAACAAAGGACAAATGAAGTTTTCCATGCTTATATCTGTGTATCTAATCATACTGCAGGAGAAAAAAAGAAAGAAAATAAGACAGATCTTTTTCCAACACAACTCCAAAGGAATAAGTATAGTCTAGAACCAATACAAGATTTAATATATCCTAATAGAAAAAGTGGTTCTTTTACCCTTGTTGGGACTTATCCCACAATGCTTTTATCCAAGTAGGAAGCAATATGGGTTTCTTCAGAGCAGCAGCCACTAAATATTTCTTGCTGCCAACTTCTCCAGCTATAAGATGAGTTACTGATGCATTGAGATCTCTGTACACATGGCCACCCATCATCTGTACATACTTATGAACTTCTTCCTAAAGAGCAAAAAAAACAAAACAAAAACCCGCAAATAAAGATAAAGTAGTCAAACAACAAAAAGTAGATTTTAATATTGCTTATTTTTTTTTTTTAAAAAAAGATTACTCCATGTCCTATTATTTCTCCTGGAACTTAACTTTATGGCACCTTTAAAACAGAAAAATGTCTTTTGTCTACATAGAAATGAACAATTTTGAAGGAATCCCTTTAAAAACTGTAAAATAGTGGATACCAGGGGATTGCGCCCTCCAGAACACATTTACAATACAGATTAAATAAGGAAAAATGCCTGTGTTCTGTTTACTACCCAGGAATCCACATCACATACTATTACTAGACAGAAACAGTCACTTAAGAAAAAATGTTGTCGTTTTTATTGAGTAAATTTATAAATAGCTTATAAAGGGTTAACAAATGAGTAATAGATGCCATAAGCATGATATAGAATGAACACCATGTGTGATACATGGCTATAACCTAGGGCTGTCAATCAATTAAAAAATTAATTGTGATTAATTGTGCAATTAAAAAATTAATCGCAATTAATTGTGTGATTAATCACGCTGTTAATACCATTTATTTAAATATTTTGGATGTTTTCTACATTTTCAAATACATTGATTTCAATTACAACACAGAATACAAAGTGTACAGTGCTCACCTTGTATTTATTTTTTATTACAAATATTTGCATTGAAAAAAACAAAAGAAATAGTATTTTTCAATTCATTTAATACAAATACTGTAGTGCAATCTCTTTATCATTAAAACAGGTTTCAGAGTAGTAGCCGTGTTAGTCTATATCAGCAAAAACAATGAGGAGTCCTTGTGGCACCTTACAGACTAATAAATTTACTTGGGCATAAGCTTTCATGGGCTAAAACCCATTTCATCAGATGCATGGAGTGAAAAATACAGTAAGCAATATATATATTACAGCACATGAAAAGATGGGAGTTGCCTTACCAAGTTGGGGGTCAGTGCTAACGAGGACAATTCTATCAAGGTGGAAGTGGCCTATTCTCATCAGTTGACAAGAAGGGGTGAATATCAACAGAGGGAAAATTACTTTTTGTAGTCCTAATGAGGCCAATTCAATCAAGATGGACATTACCCATTCCCAACAGGTGACAAGAAGGTGTGTTAAACATTCCTATGCCCCTTCATGCTTCGGCCACCATTCCAGAGGACATGCTTCCATACTGATGATGCTCGTTAAAAAAATGTGTTAATTAAATTTGTGACTGAACTCCTTGGGGGAGAATTGTATGTAACCTGTTCCGTTTTACCCACATTCTGCCATATATCTCATGTTATAGCAGTTGCGGAGGATGACTCAGCACACGTTTGTTTTAAGAACACTTTCACTGAAGATTTGACAAAACATAGAGAAGGCACCAATGTGAGATTTCTAAAAATAGCTACAGCACTTGACCCAAGGTTTAAGAATCTGAAGTGCCATCCAAAATCTGAGAGGGACGAGGAGTGGCACATGGTTTCAGAAGTCTTAAAAGAGCAACACTCAGATGCTGAAACTACAGAACTCAAACCACCAAAAAAGAAAATCAACCTTCTGCTGGGGGCATGTGACTCAGATGATGAAAATGAACATGTGTTGGTCCACTCTGCTTTGGACCGTTATCGAGCATGGACACATCCTCTGGAATGGTGGATGAAGCATGACGGGACATATGAATCTTTAGTGCATCTGGCATGTAAATACCTTGTGATGCCGGCTACAACAGTGCCACGTGAACGCCTGTTCTCACTTTTAGGTAACATTGTAAACAAGAAGTGGGCAGCTTTATCTCCTGCAAATTTTAACCACACTTGTTTGCCTGAGAGATTGGCTGAAGTAGGACTGAGTGGACTTGTAGGCTCTAAATTTTACATTGTTTTGTTTTTGAGTGCAGTTATGTAACAAAAAAAAAATCTACATATGTAAGTTACACTTTCACGATAAAGAGACTGTATGAGGCGAATTGACAAATACTATTTCTTTTGTTTATCATATTTACAGTGCAAATGTTTGTAATAAAAATAATAATATAAAGTGAGCACTGTACGCGTTGTATTCTGTGTTGCAGTAGAAATAAATATATTTGAAAATGTAGAAAAACTTCCAAAACCATTTAATAAATTTCAATTGGTATTCTATTGTTTAACAGTGCAATTAATTGCGATTAACTTTTTTGAGTTAATTGCATGAGTTAACTGCAATTAATTGACAGCCTTACTATAAGCACATCAGTAGAAGTTGTTATAGGTGATTATAAGACACTTACTAACCTGGACTCTAATTGATTAACTAGACAAACATCTATTCATAATTTATTAAGCCTTTATAAATGAAACCTTAATATACAGTGTGATCAAAATGTTCAATATTTAACAGATATTGAGAGTAGCCTGAGTATTAAATTTTTAATTACTTTATAGTTTGATATAAACTGTAACACATTATATGGTCTGTGACATCTTAGCCGTAGATAGCTAGCTGGACAATCCATCTAGATCTCAAGTCAGTTCATGAATGCTGTTAATTATAAATTATTCCTATGCCCCCTCAAACAACCAATGAAGTATTTTTTTCTACATACTACTTGTATAACACAGATCTGAGGTTTCTGCTGATCTCTTTGATAACATCATTCTTTAAACAAAGTAATCAACTGAAAAAAAGTTAAATGCATCCAAACACCCAAAGTAAAACTGCAGATATTTTCTTCATCTAAAATATTAGAATGGGAACTTTAACTCATTCAAAGGGCCAAAAATTATTCAGATGGAAAAAATAAGCGTCACATCATCATCATTTAAAAATAACTCTTTCTATATATATTTGAATTGTATTCCTGACTTAAAAGTTTTCAGTAAGTGAAAAATGCATTTACAAAGAAGTAACCAATAAATCTTTTTACTGCTGTATCTGGAAGTAAACTTCACAAAAATCTAGCTGAACAATTATTCTTCCATTATATATTGTAATAAATTACCCTAGTTTCTTTTTCAAGACTAGTACAGGATATTGTTATATCAGCCATGGCCATATTATGAACAGGGTATTCGGCTCTCGGGACACATCGCTGGTGCTGCATACAAAATATGACTACCTGTGGTCCAACGATCCTACAGCCAAGCTGCAACAAAAATAAAACAAAAAGATCAAAGAGGATTAATATGGAAGGAAGGGTGACACTTTTCTCACAAAAAGGGGATCTTGTCAAAAAACCTATCTTGGGGAATATCCAACACCCCATCCCAGCAACACAAAGCGGTTGAAACTGACCAACCGATTGGCTGGGGATTGCTCAAACATAGGGAAATCCTCACATGGAATAGAGCTGGCCCCAACATAGGTAACAGAGGAAATGTCTGGAGCGCCACTGATCTCTGGCTATGCTGTCCTTTGCTACTGCAACTTCTCAGAGATCACTGCAACCATGCCATTTTCCCAGACTGCTCTATGACTGGGAGAAACAAAAAAGGTGGTCACAGGTCCTGTAGAAGCACAGGCCATTGAGACTGAAGGATTGAATCCCTTGTCTTGCCTTACCTTTTATGCTATTCCTACCCTTTGCAATTTTCCCACTGAAACTCTGTTTAACAGCATATTACATATATTCACTGTGTACATTACAAGCCAGTATATAGAATTCAGAAAGAGAAAATGTGTAGGATCATGTATATGAGCATTCCTTAGAAAGGAATAGGACACTTATAACTAATCTAGTGGGTAGCAAACCTTTTTGAGGTGACTAAAAACAATGCCACTAAAAGGGTCACAGATGTAAAGGGATTTGTCATTCTCTTTTATATTGAGTGCTGGCACTTCTTCAAGGATCTGGAGATATTCTTCTGACTGAAATTCTTTTATGGACTGCAAGAAAACATGAAACAACAACATACTTAAATTCCTTTCCCTTTGTTAGACAATTCTTTTAAATGAATCCTACAGCAACTGCAAAAGCATATCCAGTTGAAATTACTTATAGCAAAATTACTATACAAGAATCGATTTGTAGTGAAGTTGAACAAAAATATCAAATTATTTCAATCCACTGCAATGTACAGTGTACAAATTTTCATCTATTGGACCTCATCTGTGCTGAGAGCCTTCTAACTCTCACTGACTTCCCAGGGGAGAATGACTTGACACCCTCCTCAATGAAGCTATAGTAGCGTGGATGAGGAATCTGAACCCTCAGGATTGCAGCTCACTCTGTTCTGGAACCTGTTGAGTGCCCTCTACAACCACTGTATGATCGGGATGATCATTCAAATGCTAGTTACCAAGGCACAGCATTTAATCCCTTCAATAAATTAATTCAAACCCTGTGGGACAATTTGCTCCTTGGAGAGGTCAAGGTTCTTAATTAGGTTATACAATCTATCTTCAATTATTTAAAAAAAACACTTCACGGTAGTAAGCACTATGCCAGGCAGCAACTGTTTGCAGGGTTGGGCCAAAAGTTTTGAGTGCTTCAGCACCTTTCCAGAGGGACACCGCACCTTATAGGATTGGGGCCACAGGGAAATCAGTTTCACAAAACAATGATTTCACTATATGAATTTTCCACTGTATTAAGAAGTGAAACTAACCCACTATAAATTAGTAAAAATATATAACAAAGAAAATGTTGACCTTCGCTGTAGAAAAAAAGTTAAACAAGGCAACTGTATTATCTAACATTAAATGCCTTCATCTTACAGAAACAATATATTTTATTTACAGATATATGCATTAATAGGCTACAAATAACCATGAAAATAATTAAATGGAAAACTAAATTCAGAAAAAAGCAGCTGATAGTGGTACCAAAAGTGCTTACCTCAAGAGCTTTAAAAAAATATTCTGAGTTTCCAGAAGACTTTATAAATTTAACAAAAAATGGTTCCTTGTCACTTTTCATCCTTTAACTAATGGATGAAACAAAAAAAAAGTGTTGAAGTACCAGTTTTCAGAATAACTTCGTTATGTATTCAAGACCTGCATTAATGAGATGTACCTAACTTATTTTTCCACATAAATTATTGCTTTTTCGGACTTTTTTGAACAAATCTATCCAAACATTATAAAGAATTCACCCCCTGGAAATGTCAGTGCTTCTAATTTGCTCATATACTGCCCCAATATCTGTAGTATGTAGAGGATCAATATATCTCAGAGATCATTCTCTCTGATGCAGAAACGGAGTAGGGGGGGTGGAGATCAGGTACCTGTTGGCTTAGTTCTCCCTCCCTGTACTGCCTGGAGAGTGCGCCGGGGCTACGAGGAACTGTACTGGGTAGGCCTAAGCACAACATCCTCCACATCAGCTATGCTGAGCTCAGGGCAGAGAGAGAACACAGTCCCGGGCTGCGTTATCTTTCCATGGACCTTCTTTACCCGGGGAGTCCCTTATCAGTATGTCACCCCTGGGCTTTCCCACGGGACACTGTGATCGGGTCCTAGAAGTGCTGAACTTCTCACGGAAGCTTCGTTTAACACAATACAACCTAAAACATCGATGTAAATGTTTTTCCCCAGGAAAACCCCGGGCTGCACTAGCGAAGCAAATCACACTGCACGCAGCGTTCCTCAGCTGCTGACAGCCCGACCTGGGGCCGAAACGCGCCCTACCGTTGCTTTCCGAGCTGGCTCTCCCCCAGCCCAGCCCAGCCCAGCCGCACGAGAGGGACGCTGGCGGGGGGAGGGGGAGCAGGTGCAGCAGAGGGGGAGCCGAGCCGAGCCGAGCCCCGGCGGGGTGCCAGGGAAGTGGGCGGGGCCGCTGCGAGGCGAGCGCCTCCCTCCGCGCGACACCTTCACGAAAACTCCGCGGGGGAGGCGCGGTTCACTCGCGTGCGCAACGAACACACGCGCTGGGGCACGTCACACGCGTCGCGATTCTCGCGCCGGCCACGCGCCCTCGCAGGTCGGTCACCTCAGACCCCTCCCGCCGGGTAGTGCTGGGTCCTGCCGGGCGATGCCCCGGCGGGGCATCCCTGCGCTCAGGGCTCCCTGCCCACAAGCGGCGGCGATCCCCCGGACCAGCCCTGACCGTGGAGGAAAGGGCCGAGCCGACTGGGTTCGCCGCCAGCCCGGAAGAGTCAGGGGCCCCTGGTGAGCGGGAGGGTCAGCCCGGGGCGAGAGGAAGGGCTGGGGCGGCTAGAGGGGAGAGTGGGTTCGGGGAAGGAGGGGGGAAACTGAGGTTATGGAAGAAGCGGCCTCTCACCCACCGGAGTGGGCTCGCTCCCGCAGGTACTGCCTCTCCAGCCGGTAACTGAAGGCGGGCGGGAAGAGAGCTAGAGCCACACTGCGCAGGCGCGCCAGGAGACGCTACGAGGCGCAGGCGCACGCTCATCCCTAGCACGTGATCAAGTCCCGCCGGACGGGAGCCGCTCTCGGAAGGCAAGCCGGTGCGCGTTTAACTCCCTCGCATAGAGCCCGAGCGCGCGCTTCTCGACTTCGGCCCGCGCGAGTGGTTCTCTGCCGCTGGCTGCCCGTTCTTCTCCCAGCGCTTGCGTCACTAGCCTCTGCCTGCGCTTTGCCGCGTGACTGAGCCGCCGGAGGTGCGGCGCGGCGCCCCCGGATGCCTTCCTGCCGCTTCTACGCCTGCTCCGGCCTCGGCTCCCGCGCGCCCCGCGGCGCGTGCTGGGTGCAGTGGGGAGCCGCCCCTCGGGGCGTCAGCGCCTGGCTGCCTCGCGTCCCCGCTCAAGCCAGCCCTCTGGCGCCCTGCCTCGTGCCCGGCTCTTGTCGTGCCCGGCTGGGCGACCCTGAGGTCTTGAGATGCCAGCGGGGGGCTGGGCGCCTCCCGCAGCGGGAGGCTTGTGGGATTGGCGATGCTCTTATCCCACCCCCAGTACAGCGCGGGTGGGTCTCTCCTGAGGGACGCTGTCCCCACCCTCCCCGCGGGGCAGCTGTGCCCCTTCAGCCGCCCCATTCAGGACAGGAAGTTAGGGGGGTGAACGCTTAGGGCCTGTCTACCCTGGGAGCTCTCACCTTATCTGAGCTGGGCGCTGAAAGGACAGTCTGCTGAGCTCCCCCTTTGGTGAATCTGGGCGAGGTGGGGACGGTGCTTGTTCCAGTTCCAGTCCCACTCCCAGTGAAGATGTAGCGCACAATCCTTTTTCCCCCTCCCTGGGAGAAGCGACTAGATTGGGGGTTCTCAAGCTCTTTCTTTCTGAGGCTACCCCCAATGTCTATACAAACTTCACAGACTGCCTGTGCCACAACAACTGTGTTTCTCCATATACAAACCAGGGCCAGTGTTAAGAGGTAGAAAGCAGGGCAATTGCCCAGGGCCCCATGCCATAAGGAGCACCGCAAAGGTAAGTTACTCAGGCTATGGCTTCAGCCCTGGGTGCTGGAGCTCAGGTCCCTGGGCTGCAGTTCTGCCTGGCGGGGCTTCAGCTTTCTGCCCTGGGCCCGAGTGAGTCTAATCCATGAAACCTGCTTGTGGCCCCCAGATCTCTGGTTGAGAACCAGTGGACTAGATGATTTGTTAACATTGTTATGGTTCCTAAAGGCTCCCAAGAGTTTCACAAATTACCTACAGCACCACTGAGTTGCCACTGCTGGTTGGATAGCAATAGCCAAACCGCACAGCTGTGGGGAAAACTTGGTCAATGGCAGCAGGGCAAGCTCCTATTTTTATAAAATGCTGTGCAATCTGTACATGCAAAGCCAATAAGCTCATTTTTATAATAGGTTTCATCTGTCTCTAGATACTCCTTACGGTTGCCTGATATCCTATAACAATCACTCTGAGGATCCCGAGACAGCGGTATTAGACTTCTGGGAGAAAAGTTCAATGCTCTGTTATTTATTTATTTTTTAAATACTGTTAAGAATTTTATATCCTTTCAACAGGTTTGGTTTAAATAGACAAAATGTGGCCACATGGTGGCACTGTAAACTCAGTATTTGGAATGGCTAAGACCTAGGCAAAAGTAGCAATGTAAAATAGCAATTAGAACCTAGAGTTCTTCCCCCTATAATAGTAAGATAGCAAACTACCCTTGATTTTAGCCAGAAAGAGTAGAAGATATTTTTAATGTAAGTAAGGAATAAGTTTAGAAGATTCATTTTATTAATATCTAGCATTAGCCCTGTTTAGGAGATCTTAGGTATTGTTCACACTTTTTAAGTGAAGCATTTGAGCATAAAGAAAAGGAGTACTTGTGGCACCTTAGAGACTAACCAATTTATTTGAGCATGAGCTTTCGTGAGCTACAGCTGAGCTCACGAAAGCTCATGCTCAAATAAATTGGTTAGTCTCTAAGGTGCCACAAGTACTCCTTTTCTTTTTGCGAATACAGACTAACACGGCTGTTCCTCTGAAACCTGTCATTTGAGCATGTTCAGCTTCCACAGAAGACAACAATTCAGCACCATGCAGAATAGGACCATTAATGAGTGAGGAGCTGTTAAGTCTGAATAGGTTGTTTGCCTTGATGTTGACACTAATTATATTTGATGTGTGAGAAAGTGTTTGGTCACACACTGTCAGAAGCTAATCTTCCTGTGGCAGTGATATCACGTAGCAGAGGGCTCTTTAATCCATCAGACAGAGGCTTAAGATCCACTGGCTAGAAGCTTGTCACCACTATTGATCCATGATGGTGGAATGGATTTGACCTAGAACTGAAAGGCTCTATATCCAGTTACTAATGCTCAGAACCATCTACTTACCCTGTGCTGTCTGCTCACTCGATATTGCAACATGCTGTGTGGAAGAGTATCTTTGCCATCCCTCCCCCATTCTTTGAGAACACACACTTTCTTCTGCAAGAAACCAAAACCAGAGAATTCAACCAACTTTAATGAATTGCAAACACAAACATACTATGTCATAGTATGAGTTATTTTGTTTCTGGATCCCTTAGTTATATATATCAAGAGTGCCATCTAGTAGCAGAGACTCCACCATTTCTGCATCTCTGCTGTTCTCCATTTAATATGGCTCACTATATATATCCAATGGGTAAATGGGACCTGGCTGGTCCCAAGTTTTCAAAGCAAGCTCCAGTTCCACTGAAGTAACAGGTCCCTTAAGAAGAGGCTGTAGTCCCATCAGGTTACTTGTTTCCGTAAGTCCAAATGCTGTCCTTTACTACAGCTCACTAGGCCCTCCAAATATTTCTTCTCCAGAAAAGATCCATGCTGTAAGTGAAATTCCTCCTAGATACAAGGGCCCCTTTTAAGTCTCCCTTACTGAGCTTCAGCTGTGTGCTCTTCCCTACATGATTGAGATCTTGCACAAGAGTGGTAGGGCTTTTATCTCCCTTTGCAGGGAGAGGGTTAATCTTTTCTGACTGGAGAGTCAGACCACACACTTCACACTCACAATATGTGTGTGATTCATAAAAACATTAGTGGAAGTTCTCAGCTCTTGTTGAAAAGTGACTAAATCATAAAGGGGCTTTTTTATTTAAGTTAAAAAAACCAAAACCTTGCAAGCTGGTTACTATATGCAGGAAAGTACCTCCTTGAAAGAGAATTTGTCCTTCCAAAGCTTCATCAGTTGACATGAAAATGATCTTTTTTCTATTGAAATTAATTTATCACTAATCACTTTTTCAGGATACAATCTGGTAAAAATTCATATAAAAAATTCCAAAAGATGGCTCATGCATAATGTGTGAAAAGAAAGTAAAAAGCAAAACCTAATGAATTAGAAAAGAGTTCCAGTTTGCCCATACTTACTTTATGGATGTAGCCCAACAGTAATGTAATAATATACCGAAACTGAGAATAAGTTGAAAGAAGTGGTTGGATAAGCAAGGATTTCCTTATTTCATTTCCTGATTTCAAATGCACTTGATAATTTGAAACATCTTTAATACATTTCCTGTACCACTTTCCGATCAAAGTATTATTCTAAGGCAGGGGTTCTCAAAGTGGGGGTTGGGACCTGTCGGGGTCATGAGGTTATTACAGGGGGAGTCGCAAGCTGTCAGCCTCCACCCCAAACCCCGCTTTGTCTCCAGCATTTATGATGGTGTAAAATTTATAAAAACGTGTTTTTAATTTATATAGGGAATCACACTCAGATGCTTGCTATGTGAAAGGGGTCACCGGTACAAAAGTTTGAGAACCACTGTTCTAAGGGCTTTATAGAAACATAAGAAAACCGGAATTGCCATACTAGATCAGAAGAGTGGTCGATCTAGTCCAGAATCCTTTCTCTGACAGTGGCCAAAACCAGATATTTCAAAGGAAGTGCAAGAAACCCCAGAGAGGGTGTCCCTGATCCATCAAAACACTAAAGCATGATTTCATGCACATGAGCACCCACATGCTTCAAGTTATGTATCTGTTTAAGTGCTTTGCTGGACCTAAATTTTATGGAGTAGCCTGCTTATATTCTGCTATCAATCTCATCAAAACTCTCATTACAAACTTTAGGAGTTTTAGATACAAAATAATGGCTGGATAATGTCCTACTACTATACCAATAAAAATGCTTAACAACCAAAAATAAAAGCAGAAGCAACTAGAAATGCTGGAGTTTCTTTTTCCAAATATATGACATTTTTTAGGATCTCAATTTCAAGATTTTGTATTACAGATGTCAATTTAACATAATTAACGCTGATATAGCACCAGGCTTGTGTGGGATGAAATACATTTGAGTATAAATGGGTGGCATATCTCATACTAAGATATGAGAGGTAGTTCAAGAGGATGTGTCTCCACTTCTGACCTAATTTCATGTTCTAAATTATACTTTCTCTGAAGAGGTACATTGGAAGTTTATTCATGAGCCCAAAGACTTAGTGTAAAGAACAAATTCACAAACTTTTCCAGGGTCAAGTTGACCAAAACATGGCATATCTATTGTATTTTCTAAAAAAGGGGTGAACCTTTAGTCTAAATTTATATATCCAAGTAAGTAGTTAGGTATGCATACCCCCTTTTAAAATATACAAATACACATTTGTATAAACAAATGCCGTTTCTTTCTGGAGAAAACTCCTGTGCATCTAAAATGTGTAGGTACCCCTTCAGTTGCCTCTTTAAAGCCAAGTATTCAAAGCGTTTTGGTCCTTTGCACAACTGTTTCCACAAAAGTGAATGTAACTTTTTTACTTAGATACCCGTCACAATGCAGCTGAGAATTCCTGCTCCCCCGTAGATGGGGTGTATGTAGAACTAACTCGGTCAGGTGCCTCAGCATAGAGAACTGGGCAATATTTATACAAATGGATTGCAATGTGGTTTCGGAAAAAGGTATAAAGATATTTCCTAAACTTTTCACCAGCGAAAGCATAGATCATGGGGTTGATACAACAGTGGATCATTGCAGTCGCTTCTGTCACTTGGATTGCTACCTCTAGCTGACTGCTGTTCTCACAGTTATTTAGGGAAAATGAATCTTGAAAAGTGTACATGAGAACAACGATGTTGTATGGTGCCCAGAAGAGAAAATAAACAATCATTATGATAAAAATAAGCCTGACTGCCTTATGTTTTTTCTCATTCCTACATCTCAGTAATGTCTTTATAATCTCGGCATAGCAAAAGATCATAATGACCAGTGGAATGACAAGTCCCAGGATGTTCATCTTTAAAGTCTGGAATTGCTTCCATTTACTTTCCTGTCCCAATGGATAATGAGGGCTACATGTAAAATGATATGACTCCCTTTTAGCTTTGTGAAATATAAATCCTGGCAGAGAGGCTAATATTGCAACACCCCAAATGACAACACTTGTGATGATGCCATAGGTAACTGTCCTAGCCTTTAAAGCAAACACTGCATGGACAATGGCCAGATATCTATCTACTGTCAAAAGTATTATGAAAAAAATTCCACTGTAGAAGCCAGCATAATAGATCCCTGAAAGAATTTTACACATTGCATTTCCAAAATCCCACTCATGTGCTGCATAGTAAGCCCAAAATGGCAGGGAAAGAATAAAAAGCAAATCGGAAATTGCCAGATTCAGCAGATAGATGTCAGTCATGCTTCTCAGCCTCTTGTATTTTATCAGGATCAGCACAACTAGCGCATTGCCCACCAGGCCAAATATCAGCACCAAGGAGTACAGCGGTGGCAGAAACTGGGATGCAAATTTTTTGACATCAGCTTTTTGGCATGGTTCTGAGCCAGTATAATAATCATAGGTTGTCATGTCAGTTTCGTTATCCATCTTGTTCTGTCCTGGATGAAGAAAGAGATGGTAGAAACTAAAGAGATGGACTAAAACTCAGACGAAGATTGGAATTTTACCACAAACAATAATTTTGGTGGCTGGTGATGACCCCCATATTTCAGCTGCCTAACATTTCCAATTATAAAAGATTATTGCAATTTTTTTTTTGAGAAGCTCTGAGATTTCCATTATTTGCACAAGGCCTTTGAAATGCAGTGGGGAGAAAGCCTTAGGGCTAGAGGAGCGCCTTTTCTTTTTCCCCATGAAATTCTGTTTATGTTTTGCTGTGTTATGACATAAAAATACAAAAGTGTCACAGCCCACTATTACTGAAAAATTTCCTACTTTCTCAAGTTTACAATATAATTATAAAATAAATCAATTGGAATATAAATATTGTACTTACTTTTCAGTGTATAGTACATAGAGCAGTATAAACAAGTCATTGTCTGTATGAAATTTCAATTTGTACTGTCTTCGCTAGTGTATTTTATGTAGCCTGTTGTAAAACTAGGCAAATATCTAGATGAGTTGATGTACCCCCTGGAAGACCTCTGCATATCCCCAGGGCAACATGTACACCTGGTTGAGAACAACTGTCCTAAAGCACCATGCTTACACTGCTGCCTAAGCAGCAGCAGCAGCCACTGCACTGGTAGTGCTTAGGAGCTGTTGGAACAGTTGCGGTGCAGAAGGAGAGAGAGTCAGGTCAGCTTCCCACTAACCACACACCCAGACCTAGCATGTAGCCACAGCAACCTGTTCCCCCCAGCTTCCCCCTGGAAGAACCACATGGGAGAGAAATTCCCCTACCTCTTGGGAGGATGTGGGCAAAGATGCAGTCCAGGCTCCCCTGAGCCACTCTTGAGATACAGGTGTCCACATACACGTGTGTGTGCTCTGAGATGATAGCTTTCTCCTGCTGGTAGTTACTGTAGCTCAAATGGTTGATAACTCTATGCTTATGCCAAAGTTTAAGAATTCAAACCCTGCTGAGTACACATGAAAGAAGGATTATTAGAGTTGTACATAATTTGTTTTCTTCTAAAATGAAAAATACATAAAAACACTAAGTTAATAGAAAATTATTTAGGTTGCAAAGTCAAGTACTCAAAAGTTAGGAAATGCCAGATTTACTGTTGCCTGTGGCACCTTAATTCTGTCCACTTGTGCACATACACTGTGATACAATATTTAATTACATGATCCCCACTCATTTTTCCCACAGGATCTTTTCCACAGTCAGTGCACAAGATGGATGCACAAGGGGGCAGAATTAAAGTTGCATAGGCAACCATAATGCAGGCATTTCCTATATTTTGATTTTGCAACCTAAATAACATTCTTTTAGCCTTGTTCGTGTGTACACAACATTTGTAGGAAGAGACATGCAGTCTGGTCAGTCTCATCTTTTTATTTCCTTGACAGTAAACAGTATATGATTATACCTGTATCATATAAATATGTAAAATATAATGTTGATCAGACTTATGAAAATACTCTGAGTTAGTTGTTGAAAACTTTAAATATTGCTGATTAATGACTGCAAGTCTACAGATGCATGAACTACACATGCTTGTGGGCCAGATCCTTAGGTGGTGAAAGTTCACCTAACTTCATTGAAGTCAATGGAGCTATACCAATTTATGTCAACTGAGGATCTGGCCCTTAATGTACAGTATTATATGTTATTTTTATCTAGATGGAGATATCTTGCAGTAAAGGGTTAAAATTATTACTGCCCATTAAGAAGCAAGCTGGTCTTAAAAAGCAGGTAACTGAGAGACCTGATCAGAATTTAAGGTGTCATTGTCTTTAAGAGACAGGGTTGCTTTTCAATGAAATAGTTGCCTTGTTTTAGTTGCTGTGTCTCAACTTGGTGCCAACTGGCAGAGGGCACAGGGGATACTCAGTTTTCCAGGGATCCCCTGCATCAGATATATGCATAATAATTCCCCCAACAATCAGGGGCACTGGAATACTTTTAATAGTGGGGGTGCTGAAAGCTGTTTTTACTTTTTACCTCATGCCCCCCTTACCCCTGTCCATGTCCCCCGCAACCTCCAGAGCTGGGACCAGGAGCAGAACTGTGTCTCTGGGAGAGGGGGGAACTCAGATGGGGTAAGGAGGCCAAGGCTGGGGCCACAGCTGGGGGCGGGTGCGGGACCAGGAGTGAAGCCCTGGGAACGGAGCCCTGGGAACAGGGGGGTCGGGCATGGAGCCCCGGGAACAGGAGGCAGGGCCAGGAGTGGCATGGGTCCAGTGGCTGGGGAGAGGGGTCCGGGGCTGGCGCTCCAGAGCAGAGCTCCAGTGCAGGGCTAGGAGTGGGGCCGCAGGTGCCAGGCATGGAGCCCCAGGCGTGGGGCCAGGTGCAGAGCCCTGGGCATGGGGCCAGCAGCCAGGGAGCAGGTCCCATGGCGGGGACCAGAGTCCTGAGTGCAGGGCCGGCGAGTGAAGTCCTGAGAGCAGGGTTAGGAGCGGGGCGCTGGGCTTGGGGCCGGGACCAGGGCCCGTGGCGCAGAGCCCTAGGTATGGGACCAGCAGCTGGGGAGTGGGGCTGGCAGCCGGGACCCTGCATAAAACCTGGGGGTGCTGCAGCAACCCCTGCATCCCTAGTTCCTGCACCTATACAAACAATGGCATGTGAGGTCTCTACTGAGAGCCAGTAGCCCACAGGTCATCATAATCACTGAAAAATGTATGTACAGATAATATTTAAGGACATTATGTATCTAAAAGTTCATAAGGACTTGGGATTAGGGTGGGTCACCAGGAGGTGACATACCTCAGGAATATTCCTTTCAAGCAGGAGGTAACAGACACTTCTCTCTCTATCTGGTCATGGGTGTACTTGGCATTGTAGGCCTTTCAACAGATGCCTGTTGGCCTACTGAGCCAAATGCTAGTCAAGAGATTGTGAAATTTTTAAGAGAGGAAATGTACAGGAAGAAATAAACAGCAGCAGAGGATCATCTTTATGAGAAAAGACAATGGATTGGTAGGGTACATCTGGGGATGCGGACATACACTGGAATCTTTCCCTGAGGAGGCAAGCTGACAGCATGACTTGTCTCATGAATGGACAATCACAGCCAAGCCTGGCTGTAAAAGACTGGAAGGACTTTGGGTGAGCATTGCTGATAAGACAGGAGAGTATCTAGATAAGTAAGTCTAGGTTCTAGAATGCGTGTGTGATTTTATTTTATTTGCAACCATGTGTTTCCAAAACTTCCACTTGCTATCGTTTGAATCTCTATGCTTTGTTAAATAAAGTTTTATGTGTTTTCACTATAAACATCTCTAAGTGCTGTGTGTTCAATGGAGTGGTGACGAGAACACTCCAGGGAGATGCTTGGAGGGCTCAGGGGTTGGAGTATGCCAATCACTAACCTGGAGTGAGAGAGAAGAGCCTGCGTAAGGCTGAAGGGGAGTGTTTGTGTTGTCCGTGGCCAATGGAGTGAGGGAACTGACCAACGGCAGGAACAGAAAAGCCTTCCTCATGCTAGAGGAAGTGCCTCATGACCCCGGGTACCACTGGGAAGTGTCACAGTTCCTTCATATCAGTTTTCTTTTTTGTATTGTCAAATAACTATAGAGATAGGGGCACCAGCCCAATATGCCCCATTTGCATAATTCCCTTAAACACGTGGTCGAAGTATGGCCAAGGGTAAGAGTAGTAACAAATTATGTGGCATTTGAAGTGCTGGGAGCAGAATTAACAGCAGGGAGTTAGGCTGTGTACACACTACAACTTAAGCTGGTGTAAGTTATGTTGCTCAGGGGTGTGAATGATCCATCCCCCTCAGCGATGTAAGTTACACTAACCTAAGCACCAGTGTGGAGTGTGGACAGAGCTATGGTGACAGGAGAGCTTATCCCACCAACATAGCAACCGCCGCTCGTGGGGGCTGGAGTAATTAAGTCAACAGGAGAGCTCCCTCCCATTGGTTTAGAGCAGGGGTTCTCAACCTTTTTCTTTCTGATGCTTCCCAAACTTGCTATAAAACCTCCATGCCCATCTGTGCCACAATAACTGGTTTTCTGCATATAAAAGCCAGGGCCGGTGTTAGGGTGCAGGAACCAGGGCAATTGCCTGGGGCCCCACACCACAGGGGCCTCCATGACGCTACGTTGCTCAGGCTTCAGCTTCAACCCCGGGGGCAGGGTTCAGGGACCTGGGATACAGCCCCAGGCAGTGGGACTTCAGCTTTCTGTCCTGGGCCCCAGCAAGTTTAATGCTGGCCCTGCTTGGAGGCCACGCTAAACCTGCTCGAGGCCCCCTAGGGGGTCCCAGACTCCTGATTGAAAACTACTGGTTGAGAGCATCCGCACTCGCAGTGCTGCAATGACTCAGCTGTACTGGTGTAAGCTCTGTGGCGTGGCCATTGCCTTAGAACAGTGGTTTTCAAACTTTTTTTCTGGGGATCCAGTTGAAGAAAATTGTTGATGCCCGCGACTGAAAGGAGCTGGGGATGAGGGGTTTGGGGTGTGGGAGGGGCTCAGGCTGGGGCAGGGGGTTGGGGTGCGGGAGGGGGTCAGGGCTCTGGACTGGGGGTGCAGGCTCTGGGGTAGGGCCAGGGATGAGGGGTTTGGAGTGCAGAAAGGGGTTCTGGGTTTGGGGGGGCTCAGGGCTGGGGCAGGGGGTTGGGGGCAGGAGGGGGTCAGGGCTCTGGGGCTGGGGATGAGGGGTTTGGGATGCAGGAAGGGGTTCCAGGTTTGCGGGGGGCTCAGGGCTGTGGCAGGGAACTGGGGCACGGGGTTGGGGTGCGAACTTACCTCTGGCAGCTCCCGGTCAGTGGCGCAGCCGGGGTGCACCACGGACCACGCTGTGCCTCGGAAGCTGCCAACAGTGGGTCTGGCTCTTAGGCAGAGGTGCACAGCACGGCCCCCCCCAGTTCCCATTGGTGGTTGCTGGCCAATGGGAGTGCAGAGCTGGTGCTCAGGGTGGGGGCAGCATGCGGAGCCTGGTGCCCCCCCGCCTAGAAGCCGGACCCACTGCTGGCCGCTTCCAGGGCACAGCGTGGTGTCGGAAAAGGTAGGCCCTTATCTGCCTTAGCTGGGCAGCACCGCTGACGGGACTTTTAACATCCCAGTCGATGGTGCTGACCAGAGCAAGGCGACCCAGCACCTTACATGCTGTGACCCAGTAGTGGGTCGCGACCCACGGATTGAAAAACACTGCCTTGGAAAAGAGACCTGAAAAAGATTTTGCAAGGAACAAACCTGCAGCAACTAAGCGGACATGGATTTTTGTTCATGGAAGCATAAGCCTTTGCCCTCTGTGAGGATGTATGGCTGAACTATGCTGCAATATGACAGGTTTCAGAGTAACAGCCGTGTTAGTCTGTATTCGCAAAAAGAAAAGGAGTACTTGTGGCACCTTAGAGACTAACCAATTTATTTGAGCATGAGCTTTCATGAGCTACAGCTCACTTCATCGGATGCATACCATGGAATAGAATCTGCATAAGGATCTTGTTGGTCTGCAGGAACTCTGATCCTGACATTTTAGGATCATAGTGATAGGGACATGGGCCTATGGATGGCCATTAAGAAAGGTAGCATCATGCACAATGGGGAACAAGTTGATTTTTTTTTTTGGACATTAGCCCCCTTTAACCTATTTTGTCTCTTTGTTTATCTGACTGGACCATTCTACTTTTATTAAGACCTTGTTAAACTACTTGTGGAAAGTTATCATAATCACATGCATAGCAATACATCTGAGTTCTATTGAAAACTAAATAGGCCAAAATTTCAAAAGTTACTAGTGATTTTGGGTGCTTCAATTTTTGTGTGTCAAATCTGAGTCACCTTTAAAGATGCCTGATTTTCAGAAAGTCCTGCACATTCTCCCCATGAGACAGTTGTTCCACAGCTGTGTTGACTCTACAGTCATTGTGAAAGTAAAAATGTGAGTTTGTTATGGCTCAGCTACACTGGTAGCAAATGAGT